TAGCCCATACTTGCGGAATGGTGGTGGTTTGAAAGCGACCCTGTCCGTACACATCACATTTAGTCGATTCCCTTAATGAAATTGTTAAGAAAGTTAGTTTGGTTTTTTGTCATTTCGCTAAATTTCTTAAATAGTATTAATGATTAGGCTCATTATTTTGATCAATTATACCTTTGTTGACAATTTCATGAAAAAATTGGGGCGTTAGGGGGTTTGGATTTAAAATTATATCAATGTCAGGCATTGGTACACAAAATCCATACAAGTTCCAATAGCTGACAGGGGATATTTGCTACTTGCACAATATTAAATTGGTTTTACCCATCGAAATTTGCATGCTATTTATAATTTATCTGATCTCAACCACACCTTAAAATGTCATTATAATCAATAAATAAGACCCCATAACTACTTTTAGTGAATTTCCCTATTGGAAATAGAGCTATTACCGTAGGTCTCATGGTAAGACCTAAGCCCGGAACCATCATAACTTTTCGTTTTGAGGTCCCTAGATGCCAAAAACACCGTTCGTTCATTTATATATATTTTGGTAAAAATAGATTGGCTGCCATTTTTGACTCGGTCACCCATTTGAGTCCGGGTTTGTGGCATTAAACTCACTCTAACAATCTTTGAACTAATTCACATATCAACCTTTATTTACATTTCAGATTTTCTTCTGACTCCTTTTGGGCGTCTCCAAAAAGAGTCATCCGGTCGTTACCCTAATTGCAAAGATATGTAGATTCCTGCCACCAATAATAAATTGTTAACTTTGTGTTAAGTATTTATCAGTTTTTAAGTATTTATCAGTTTTCTTTATTTCATTCATATTTAAATTATTAACTCAATCAAAATTCACTAACCAATGTTTAGGTTTACAATTTATTACTATTAGTTTAAATTACAATTCATTTCAATATTTACTAATTATCATATGTTATCAATTTATATTCACATTGTATCTAAAAATAATATTTAATTATTAAAATTGGCAACACTGTAAATGCAAGCAGTTTAACTACTAGATGTCCAACAATTAAAATTTAAAAACAAAACATGTGACTGTGTGATTGAAGATAAACAAATGAAGACAAAATGAGAATGAACTAAGAGAAGATGTAGGAAGAAAGTGTAAAGTGTATTCCATTTCAAGAAGAATTGAGAAATAACAGTAAGTGATTCCTTTCATGTAAACACAACAAAATACAGTCCACTTGTTCTAATTCTATAACTATTTTTCTTCAATCTATTTTAGTCACTAAATTAATTCATGTTTCAATCAATTATCAAAATTTCATGACACTTTGGTATTTTTTCCTGTCGTGGTTAAGAAATAAAAAGGGATTGCAGTACTTAAATGCCACCCTATAGGCTATGTGTTAAATATTACAGTTTTCTTATAAAGTTACTTAATTTCAGGAGGCGCTATGGCTACAAAAAAGAGCAAAGTATTAAAATATTCAGAACTACAAATGGAAAAAGCGATTGAAGACGTGAAACGGGGCGTTTAACACTCAGTAGCTGCCAAGAACAATAATGTCCCGAGGTCAACGCTTATAAGCAAAATAAAGGGATATGCACCTGTAGAGCGACGGATGGGCCCCCAATCAATACTGACTAAAGAAGAGGAAACTGTATTGGTGCAGTGGATATTCACTATGGCTAATGCTGGATTTCCAGTAAATACTGATCAGTTGTTTGACAGTGTGAAGCGCCTTCTATCTGATCTCAAGAGAGACAATCCCTTTACCGATGGAAGACCAGGGCGAAAGTGGTACATCGGTTTTATGAAAAGGAACCCTCAAGTGGCCAATAGAATGGCACAGAATTTAACAATGTCACGGGCTTCGGTAACTGAGAATAATGTCAGGGACTGGTTTAAAGAAGTCCATGACTACCTGAAGAGCCAATCCATTGAGAGTTTTAATGAAAATATAAGTGATGATTTTCAAACTGCCAAAGAGATCTCAAAAGAAACACTAGACAGTATTTTAAAGGATCCGTCACGCATATTTAATGCTGACGAATCAGCCTTTTTCCTCAATCCCTCTGGAAATAAAGTTCTAGTGAAAAAAGGCCAGAAAAATGTTTACCAGCATATTAACAATGACGAAAAGGAATGTATCACTGCTCTTCTAATAGGAAATGCAGCTGGTACTGTAGGTCCCACGATGATTGTTTTTAGATATGCGCGCCTTCCTGTCGACATAGCAGAAAACGCACCTTCTGACTGGGCTCTCGGAAAGTCGGACAATGGTTGGATGACTTGTGAACTTTTTTATGAATATGTTAGTAATGTCTTCCACAAGTGGCTTAACGACAACAACATTGAACGTCCAGTTATACTTTTTATTGATGGACACACGTCCCACTTGTCTCTTCCCACAAGTGAGTTCTGCTCTAAAAATGGAATCATTTTAGTAGCTCTATTACCGAATGCAACTCATCTACTGCAGCCGATGGACGTTGCGGTTTTCCGCACTCTAAAAGCAGCATGGAAGGAGAGTGTAAGGAACTGGAGAGTAAACAATATGAGCACACCGATCCTGAAAAAGAGAGATTTTGCACCATTGTTGAAGGAGTGTGTTGAAAACAGAATTAAGGGGGATGTTCTGAAAAATGGCTTCAGAAAATGTGGACTGTACCCTTGGGATGCAAATGCAGTTGATTACTCAAAACTAATGAACACATCATCACTATCATCACTGAACTCTTCAACCACAAGTGATTCTTCAGTTGCAGAAGCTCACGAACAGATCGAGACTGTCAAAAGTACAATGGATTTGGAAGTTGGAGTTACTTGTCTGGAAAGTTATATAGGCACTGAAAAACTCGAACAATTCAAACTGAGTGAAGATTGGCAGGGCACTACGGAAGATGCTTCTCTGTTTAAAGTCTGGAAACGTATGAAGAATGACCTGAAAGAACATGTACCATCAGTACCTGGACATCAAGACAAAAAAGAAGCTTGCAGTTCCCAACATATATTACTAGAGACTGAATTACCAGTGATAGAGGAGGGCTTGTACATAATTAACAGTAATGATTTGGTTGTAGATCTCGGACTTACAGATTCTGATCAAACATTGCAAGATATACAATGTGTTGAAAGAGTTGGTTTGGTAAACAATTGTTCATCGGATGATCTTTCTGCAATACATGTGATTGAAGATGAGGATGCTGTGAGAGCAATCTTAATAGAATCAGGAATACCAGATCTAGATCATAAAGATTCAACTACAACAGTGGACGATATAAATAACCAAAAAAGACTTAACCAGCAGTCTCAGCATGAAATGAATGAAGAGTTACCAAATATGACTGATTCTGAAAAAACTCCTCTAAAACAAATGCAGGGCGCTTCCTCTTCAAACAACCAGAAGTCAATACCTTCTCCATTTAAAAGAGCACTGTTTTGGCCGGAACCCATGAAAACCAATAAAAGGAGACAAAAACACAAACTTCCAAGTGTTGCTACTTCCGCAGATTGGATCTCTTATTATAAGAAGAAACAGGAAGAAAAGCTAGAAGAAGAACAGATGAAAGCCGAAAGAGCTTTAAAAAGAAAAATAAAACAAGAAGCGGGCGAGAAGGTCTGTGAAAAAAAAAGCACATAAACATAAGTTTAAAAAAAATGATTATATTTGTATGTACTGCAGTGCCTCTTGGAATGAAGAGAAAAATGGCAACATCAAGGCAGCATGGATCGATTGTGATAAATGTAAAAATAGTGCTCACTTGGAATGCTTGCCCAAAACATGCCTAACCAAGTTTAATTTGAATGATGCTAGCCGTATTAGTTTGTCCACTGTAACAAGTGTACAGCTCCACTTCCTTTGTGCATTTTGTGAAGATGAGAGTACATAAAAGAACATGTTTTTAGCAGTCTAAACCCATTCTGCATTAACCTAATGAATAGTTAATGTTTAATTTTATTTGTTTGATTTCACACATTTTAATTTTTTAATTAATAAGCCAAATTATCTTTTTTTTAATATATATATTTTTTAATGTAAATATTTTTTATTTTTAAATATGTAAAATAAATTTTAGTAATAACGTTTTACATGATTTTATAATTTAATTATTAAGTTAGATTTTATTCGTCTTATAAATTATAAAACCCTTAGGTTTAGCAGCTAGTACATGTATAGTTCCAGTGTCAGCTACTGGGACAACTGACTGTCAGCTACCGGTACTGGTACAAGCACTTTTTTCACTGTCAGCCACTGGAACACGTACAAAGGTTGAATTAAGTTTAAAAATGTTATAAAATATATTTAAAAAACCCTTTTTGTATGACAAATTTGAAAACTACACTAAATTTAGAATCACATAAAATCCGTAATATCTCTTTAGTTCCTATTTATTCAAAGCCACGGATTATTAAGTGCGTATAGTTTCTTATACTGTCAGCTACTGGTGCGTTTACCTTAGATTAAGGATAAGAATCCACATAATTTACATGCTTAAGCTTTTGTGTAGTTAAGCATGTACTATAAGACTACATACATACTATTATCTATTGTAAAAATATGTGTTAGCCATCAAATTTTTCATATCATTGTTTGGTTAGAATTTTTAGCATATTAGCATATTATTGTAAATGGTTGTTACCGTCAAATAAATAAATAAATAAAATAAATAAACATCTTTAGAAAAGAGCATTCACTACATGGGAATTCAATTCTACAATAAACTCCCAAATCACTTGAAAAGTGTAGCAATGAGTCCAGCACAATTTGCAGATAATGTTGAGAGCATTCTGATTAGAAAGGCCTATTATAATATGTTATTTATTTATATATTTTTCTCTACCGTAAATGTTAATAATATATACTTTAAGCACTTTTTAATATGTAGTTATATGCATTTATAGCCTGTTTATCTCTATTCAATACATGCTATTTTATGTATAGTGAATAAAGAATGATTTGATTTGATTTGATAAAGTTTATAGTGATTTTCTAAACTTACATTGAATTATTTTATTTCAGCCAAAATGGGGAAATCTCAACTTCTTAATTTAGTAAATAAATGGGTTGGTTTGAGAAAGTTTGTCTTCCATTACCCTCTTCAAACTGGAGTACAAGTTTATGGATTTGTATCTTTTGTGAGTATTTTTCACTTATTGATTTAGTAAAATGCCAAGCCAGATATGAGTCAATCAAGTTATTAAGGAAAAAGTTAACTGGAGGTGATACTTCTACCCACAAAGTACAGATTATCCTTAGGATATCCCACAGAGTTACCAAAACGTCCCAATATCCCATGAGATATAGGAATATCCCTGAGACATTCCTGGCATATTCCTGTTACAATAATTAATTTAATTTTTTTGAGGGTTTTTGATCGAGGGACAAGAATATCTTTGGCATATCCCTAGAATATCCACGATATCCTTTTTCATAATTTATTTGTAAAATCCATTAATAACTCAAGTACTTCTCGAAATATGCTACCGAATACAGCTTTCCCACACAGCACAGGATCCTGACCAGTTCCCACATATCCCACATAGATCCCAGGATTTGAGAATGTTCCTAGGATCACTCTAAGATATTGCACATATCCAACACAAACGAATGCATTTTGAGGATATCCTGGGGACTTCCTATGGATATTCTCGGTAGGCTACCTATATTAAAACATATTTTATAGTATTAGATGTATTTTTTCAAGTGACAAGTGCTTGAAAAACATTACTAAAAAGCATTTCAATATACTATTTCGAATTAAAATAACTAATAATGTTACTAAATAAAAATTATAATAACTATCAAACTCTAATTTTTTTCCATTTTATAATGATAATAATAATAATACACCTGTTTACAATAATAATAATAATAATAATGCAAATATTTTCTTATGCAAAAATTTGAACTTATTTGAGAAAATTTATTGGTTGAAATTTTAAGGGGAAATATTAATTAATCATATAACAATTATAATCTATATTCTTATTACAGTATCCTCTACAACTCCCAGAAAAACAATTTAACAACTTGATGCCTAAACAGAATCATAGTATCAAAATATTTAAGTATTGCGACCATTTCAGCTGTCGGATCCTCTTTAACCGCTTGAAAACTAGTAATATCAACAATCACAAATAGCTCAGGAGGGAAGGTAAGAGTTTCATAAGTCAAAGGTGCCCAGTTCAAAACTCGTCTGGGCAAAAATATTTTTTTTCTATTTTTTTCCAAAATTTGTTTTTTATGAGCTATTTAATTAAAATACTTAACTGGTATAATTGCTTTTCAGACTAAATATTTATTATTTTGTGTTTTATGTATAATATCCTGGTGGGATATCCCAGGGATCAGGATTTGGGCGGACATAGGGATATCCCAGGGAGTTCCCCAGGATATCCTGAGGACATTGCGGGATATACAGAGGATATCCACCATATCCCACAGGGATATCCCCAGGACATTCCAAGGATATTCTTGTGTTGTGTGGGTAGTAGACTTCTCTTTCTATTGTAAAATCTGGAGCCTGTTTCGACGAGTGGCAATTAACACTTGAGATTGTTGATGTCTGCTATATGTTACCACTTAATTTACTGTATTCACTTTACACTGTGCCATTGAAAATATATAATATTATACTCTAATTTATTAGTAGTTTTATAACAAGAATTGAATAAAAAACATTGCAACAGTCACTGAACAAACATATTTATTATTAAAATTAATGCTAGTAGAGCAACGACTGTGAAACCATGGTGGCAAATGTTTTGGGTTTTTCTCACAGTGCTGCCACTTATAATGTATGAGTACTGTACTCTACCAGCTCCAATTGGTTCTTTTCGTTTTATGATATAGTAAAAATATAATTTTTTGTAAATTTGCCAGTTACCACTAACTGCTGCAGAACTATGTACTACTATAACAAACTGTATTGAGAGGTCTGAATCTCGTACAAAATTATGATTTACGACACCATTGCTTAAGAAACATTATCAAACATATGTAACTTTTACTGTGAGAGCTATACAGTTGACAAAAATAATAAAAATGCACTTAACCCTTCCCGGACAGGCGAAATCGTGATATAGGACGATAAAAAATTATAGGAAAAAATACAAATTAATTTTCCTTATTTGTGTTTTGTTATACAGTATACGTAAAATAAACACAATAGAACACTTCATACTGTTAAAACTTTTTTTTACTCGTTTTTAAATATGCGGATATATCCGCTACCCGTCCGCGGATGAGTAGAAAAGCAGCGGATATATACGCCACCCGTCTTTGAAGATATGACCATGACAACGTTAGGCAATAAATAAAGAACAATATGTAAACAATAAATAAAGACAATGTATAGTGTTAGCAAATCGGGAGTGCCGATGGAGACCAGGTCAAGTCCCTTCAAACGCACGCACCCCCACAGGTCTCAATCGGCACTCCCGTTTTGCTAGCACTATAGTGTTGAGCGCGAAACGTTGAGGGGGGAGTGTAGGAGAGGTGGATGATGCGAGGGGTGAGGGTAAGGAGCGGGAGAGGGTAGGCGCGTGAGAGAGGGGGGAGTGCGGGAGAGAGCGCAGCCATGGAGAGAGCAGGAAAGTGGCGCCTTGGTACCGCGAAACATATGGTTACTGCTCAAGTACCTGCCAGTCTGTCTGAAGAGAAGGCGGATATATCCGCTTCCCGTCCGGAACATCAAAAACCATAAGCGGATATATCCGTCACCCATCCTTTATCGCCAAAGACTTAGGCGGATATATCCGTCACCCGTCCGGGAAGGGTTAGACTACTTCATGTTGAAAAGTTGTTGGAGGCTATTAAAAAAACTAGATATCTAGATAAAAACAAAATATGTATATTAAAATCAACATTATACATACATTTGTACCTACGTAACATTATACGTTATATTCGTATTTATTTATATTTTGTTTCTTTTATTCATCCACTTCAATGATTTCCATAGATTTCAAGTATTCTGATCGCAGATGTCTTACTAAGCAAAGTCATTGATCAACAAATGTGTGCAGGTATGTAAATGTATTGATAGAAATACTTTAACCCACTTTTTGAAGGGTAGATTTTAAGCCGATTGTAGGGTATTCTTTTTTATATAGAAATATATTTGATGGCACAGAAAATTTTATTTTCCTACAGTCACCCGACAAAGTAGGCTTCCTTGCACAGATTATAGTACAGAAAGCCTTACTTTGGGGCACACCAGTATTCCAACCAAACAACACAAAACAGGGTGCTTTTATTATGCATATAATCTGTGTACGCTTGAAAATAAGTTGGTTACACTTAAAGATATTACGACTACGATCAGCAGGTGCAGCGTTTCCCCCTTTTCATTTAATTTTTGGATTTAACCTAACGTAAAAACGTGTAGCACAGTGTTTAATTGAAAGACTAATTTATTTATTTATATGATTTATATAGTAACTATATGAAATATATAATGTGTAACACGAGTCCAAACTGCCTTTGCTGCACTCGAGAAATTTTCCACACATGCCTACACGGCTCGTGTGTAAACATTTCTCTTGTGTGCAACAAAGTGCCACTTCGCCCACTAGTTAAGTTACTTACATAAATAACTATTCCAGTTGCAACAAAGTTAAAATAAAAAAAAGTTAAAGATAAAACATGAAGAGTTAAGATGCAAAGCAATTGAACCATGTTTCATTATATCATTCTGTAGCTTAGGTAACTCAACGGAAAGCTATATCAGATAAATAATTGAATACGGTTTTTTTTTGTATTGACTGACACCATTTACATTACATTTACATTTACATTTGTTGTCATGAGAGCCGAAGCCCCCTGACTGCTTACCCGGTACCTATCCTTCAGGACATACCCGGGCCCCATGATGTAGGCCGAAGCTTACGCATCAACCTTTAGCACATCATGGGCGGATGACTTAAGGTCATCAGGCTCGCCGGCTGCCGGAGCAGACCCTTCGGAAAGAGGGTTGCCCCTCAATCCTAACCAGGGATTCCGGCTGCTTGTTTAAGCGTCACTCCACCTGGGTTCCACTAGGTCGGAACCTAGAGGTCCATAGTAGAGCGCCCCGACGCATTTAGTGCAAGCAACACTCGGGACCTATCTAATCCCTGACAGGCAGAACCCGCCATCAATAGCCAGGAGGAAGGGGACCATCAGCACGCTGACGGGGGGAACCCCAACCTCCCATTTACACCGCTGCCCGATCGAGGCCTTACCCATTGCTGGGAAACCAGAGATAACCAGAGCGATAGATCCCCAGATACCCCTGGCGGGCTCGGACCCAGCACCCGATCTACTTCGTTTGCCCGTCAGACCCAACATCACTGCCAGGCCATCAGGGTTTCCCAAAAGGAGGCAGGTATAGAAGTGGGACCCACCCGGATGAACCTATCCACCAGAGGTGGCGACAACCTTGACTCAATTGAGGTTCCGGGAAGAACCCCCCACACTCAAGATAACCATACCGTCCGTGCTCAGAGACAGGGATAGGTTTGCATAAGTACCTACAAACCGTTGCCCTCACACTGCGGAGAGTTACGTTGCCCTTGAGTGTCCCCGTGAGCTGCGGGTACTTGCCCGTTTTCACCTCCAGGAAAGGTTACTTCCAAAGTCGAGGATTTGCCCACTGAATGCTGGTCGCACACAACAAGCAAGCCGAAGCCCAAAGAACCACAGACACAGGTAGGTTAGAGATTATGATGTACTTCCATCTCTCCTAGAGCTAAACACCCCTCCATCCTGGATAAAGGAATGTCACTGGGACCCGATGCCCAGTCGACCATGTCTGTGGCCAACTTGAAAATGCCGATACCAACACGGAGCATTTACCTCCCCTCTGGGGGCTAGGTATTTCACCTCCCAGGACGAGGCTACTTCCAAAGTCGAGGATATGCCTCACAAAATGTCAGTCGAACACAACAGGTAGGACTCAGTCACAACCACAGTTACAGGTAGATGAGGAGAGGCGGAATTAACGGCGTCACTGAGAGCTAAACACCCCCCCCACCCTGAATGGAGGGAATGTCACTGGAGGCTCCCCCTAAGGGGCTGGCGCTTACCAGTCGTCCATAACTGTGGTCTACCTGAAGTGCCGGGTCTGACACCGGGCAGTTACCTCCCCTCTGGGAGAGCTAGGGTCCGCGTGGTCGCCCAGGCCACAAACCCACGCAAGCGTGAGCCCCCTGCGGTTACTGACACCATAACTGAGAATTCTCAGTGCGAATTCACTTACAAACATTCAACATTCAACATTCAACATTCAAACATTTTGAATTCTCAGTGCGCATTTTCCTTTATGTATGCATAAAGGGAAATGCGGTTGACTGACACCATAACTGATCTGTTAAGATTCCCACAAATTACATTTACTTGCGAAAAATGCAACCTTCTTGGATTAGGAGCACAACTTTATTAATTGGCTGGATGAGTGCTATTTATGGGTGGGTATGGTTGTTGGAAAATAATTAGTTTTGTATTCTTTTTAAAGAGACACTAGGTTTCTGCTCCAGAACTAGTGGTATGCATATAACCCATTAATATTTGGAGTTAACGTTTGGCTGCCATTTGTGTCAAGAGTCACTGTGGGTACCTAGTTCCTCTTACCAGCGATTCTCACTACCTCAAACTGTTTAGAGATTTACATGGTCAACTTGACCAGTGATTGGAGAGACATTTTGGAATTTAGAGTCGAAGCCGAATCAGTTTCAATGCTTTTCATACTATAACTATAAGTTTTGTCGGTTGCCTTTATGTTCTTGGTTGATTTGTTCTAGGAGACATTCTTTCCAAGGGTCTGAGTTTTGCTCAATGAAATACTAGGAGCAAGAAAAAAGCAAGTCCCTTTGATTGTATGAGGGTGGTTTTTAAGTAAGGGCCGATTTTGCATATAAATCAGTAGTTCAATTGTACGCCGCAACAAGGCATCACCTTACTGGCATAATTTATGAATAGCGAATTGCACAAATTTGAAATTTCAGCTCTGTAGCAATCATGTATGCTTCGCTGTGTGTTTTAAATAATTTTTAAACAATCAAATCTCCCCCTACATCTGAGGTAAGGTCTGTGTGATACATTTTTTGATTACAAGAAATATACACAATGCCAAAATTCATCGCCAAATGACAGGAGATTATGACCTTGACGCAAAGATGCGTGTGCGTTTGTGTGGAAAGCAAAGAAATGGGCTAGAATTTAAAAATGGCCATGAAAATGCTCATTTTAGAAAGAATTGTGTTTTTAGTAGGTACCAAGAATTCTCAAAAAAGAAAAGACAACTAAGAAAAAAGAATTTGACGGCCAATTTTACACTCCATAAACCATTTCACTCCTTAACCCTCAGTCATTTGGCGATGAATATCAGCATCGGATATGTTTCTTGCTGTCAATTATTCCAGTATATTGTGATAACCCACTTTGCTGCGTATAAGCGAATTACGGATTTATACACTCACTTAAAAAACCGCTCTCGTAGTTAAAGATTATTGTATGCATAGCCTCCTTATGTAAAAACAAATGCAAGATTAATTATATCAATTATTTAAAATGGAGACGCCACCCAAATAGGGATGAGTGAAGGATGAGTGTAGTATGAGTGGCGCGATCTTGTAGTCTTTTTAGTGACTAAGGCCGACATATTCCATAGACATAGCTGTTAATTAATAGCCCAAACAGCTGATGGCAACTAAGGGACCTACAGTTTATCGTGGAATCCGAATCAAATTCTTGTATTATCGAATTGGTTTAGTTATCAGGATACTGTAGATAGGCGTAGTACTCACTAAAGCGGATGTAAATCGACACCAGGTGGTATCGCATCCACAGTGCATCTCTATAAATATCCACAATTCGTGACCTCCTATAGGTCGGCCGGTTAGAAAGCGACCTGCGCGAAAATTTTAGCGCATGTAGGGGAGGTAATGGCGAGGGAGGGTATGTTCCCCCTCTCTGCGTATTTGTTTACATTTTGATCAGCTGTATAATTTAATTGCTGTTAATATTTTAGTTGCAATTTAAGGAGAGGTGTGTTCGGGAAGGGTGGGGTGGCAGCGGAGTGGGGGAAGAGCCATAGTCTGTCTCACTCCCACAGCTCGGTATCTCTCTCTCTCACCAATGCTATGAGGAGGTCGTTTTCTAACCGGCCGACCTATAGTAGCTGGATTAGGACGTCACCACCGTCCCAGACATATATGTCTAATTACAACACCGACCATATGTGGCAGTATTGCATTTGCCAGCATATTGTGCAGATGCTTTATATGAATTAGGCTATAGCTGATGTCTCAATAGGCCGTGGTAGCAGTGTGGTGTCAGTTTTGTTTCACCATGAATTTGTATTAGAGGAGGCTATGAAAATTGGCATGCCATTCACCTCAGACCAAGTTCACTGCTAACAAATTCATTGTAGTCTTTACACTTGTGGCAAACGAAAGGACTAATTACAAACTCTAATCTAAAACTCGGGATCGTTCGTGTCTGACAATTTTTTTTACGTTATGAGAAGCATTAGAAGCCAGGATAAGCTATAAAAAACTTAGTTCCAAGAAAAATGTTATTAGTATCCGAAAAGATGAGTAAGATAGTTTACAGATTTTTTGTGACATTTATCTACACATTTGATCAATTTTCATTAGTTTCTGAGTTATTCTTCAATAACATAAAAATTCCAACAGTAGTAATAAACAGACCAATTTCTTGCAATGTATAAACTAACAACTTTGTGTAGTATAATTTTATTATATATACATTAATACATTATACATATGTACATTAATAATGAATTAATGTAAACCTATCTATATCTATAAAAGAGGAACTATGTATGTGTGTATGTATATACGTTATGGACTCCGAAACCGCTCGACAGATTGTGATGAAACTTTCAGGCATTATAAGCATCTTTCAAGGATGGTTCGAGTGAAGTTTGGTGCAGATCCGTCAAAAGGGCTCTGCCCCAGAGGGTTTCACTTTATAAGCGTAGTTGAACAATGATTTTCAACAATGATTTTAAGTGGGCCAATGTCAGACTTTTTGATCTACAATGTTTACAAATAAATATAATTTAAAAGCAGATGTTTACTTTCACCAACTGTTTTGTAGGTTTGAATAATCACAACATTCGGTATTAGCATTAGTCATGATTTTAAATAGTGCCACAGTGTTTCTACAGAGTGCAGCACAAACAAATTTTACTTTTGAATAAGTCCAAATATATTAAACCCCAATCGCAGCACACCTGTGCACTCAACAACGTTTAAAGTCTCCAATGTTAAATATTAAAAACATAAAAACCTTTATCAAAGTATTATAAACAATAATAAAAGGGATGACAATGCCTTAACATTTTTATCGTTCTATACCCACACAATCTAACATAAATTATTAAGTGAATAATAATCTTGCATGCTATCTCGGGGAATTCAAATGCCTCTCAATTTGTCATCAACCCACCACATTACTGTCATTAAAAGTAGGAACTCCAATAATAATAATGCGAAACTTTATTCCACCGAAGCTGTGAAACAATACCAGACTAATGAAATTACGTCAAAATTGATTAAAGCAAAAATTATCAGTGGTAGGTTTAAGGGAGAAATAGTCTTAATCCCAAGAATACTGATGATTTAATCCGAATTACCCTCTGATCTTAAGCAACTACAATTTCCTTAGTGTCTTGCTTTCGCAATCACCGAATCACCATTATAAGGCACTAGGGCAATCCCTGACTATCGTCTGTTTAAATGTAGAAAAACATGCTTTTCACACAGACAGATGTATTTTGTTAGCGCAGCAACGCGTGCCGTGTAACTGCTAGTACTTTATAAACGCTGGATTATCGAGCTAAGTTTGTTATATTATTGTCTCAAAATAGCGTGAAAAACGCTAATATCGACATATTGCTTTTACAATTTTCCCGGGGGAGAACCCAGACCCCCTCCAGAGTGAAGGGTATATTCCATACCCCGCAGGCCCCCAGCGACCCCTGTTTCAAGTACGCTCTTGCCCCCCCCCCCTAGTTTTGATCCTGGGTATGCCCTTGTTGAGAAGTAGGAAAGATCAGCAGACAATGGACGGTTTCAGCTATATACGACAACGACAGTGTCTGTTATGCTGTCCAATGCTGGCGTTCGACGTTCGGCCACATTCTTCTTCTTATTTAATTTTTTGGCATTTAATGCTATCATTCATTTTAACCTAGATGATTAAAACCTTGAATTGGGTATTGGATAAGGAAAAGAAGTTGTCTCAATAGTCAACGCTTGAAAGATAGTTGAATATTAATTTATCTGAGTTCAGCGTTAGGAATTTGTAATTACAGTAATGTAATTCAATGATTACCGTAGCAAATTTTTAAACTTTCAATATTAAATAGTATTTATATATAGAGCACCCAGGGCCGTCGCGTGGGTTGGGGGACCAGGGCGACCGCCCTGGGCGCCGCGGTCAGGGGGGCGCCACAGCAAAAGTGATGCAACAAAATTTAAAAAAGTTAGATGTACATAACTTATTTTGGAAAGTTATGTATAGCCACAAATACTAGTTCTATTATTCGTGTGTGTAACTGAATGTTGAATATTACGTTGTATGCCTTTATTCAACAAATACCTATTATTTGATACCAATCACTTTATAATTTGCAATGTTTTCCCAAATTAAATATCAATATAGTATTGAATTAAATTTAGTAATAATAGACTAAACAATCAACTCCACTGTGGCGTTGAAGGCTCTGTCCCAAGTTAATTATCTTTATTGCAATGTCGCGGTTCGCGGTGTTGCTCTGTACACTTAGCTGCCGTATTCTATTTTTATTTCGCCCGACCGGCCGACGGTCGACCTTGGGAACCACCCATGCCCCAATCACTCCTTTCTCTTACGGCAGTCCCAGCTGAGCTGCCAGCTTAGTTTGATGAGTGATTAAGAGTTATTTACATTATTTAATGTTTAGGATCTCATATCTAAATGTGATAACGTGGTTTTCTTTTATTCTGTATAAAAATTCTATTCAGAGTAGGTTTGGTTTGAGGTTTTGCATACATTGCATTAATTTCAATTTGCTCTGTATTAATTAATACATAAACGGTATAGTACTTTTTATACATTTTAACATTTTCTTACATTAATTGGGATTTAGTTATCATCAATAAAAAAATATTTTCATACAAAATATAAGTAATTTATTCTATCCCTAATAATCAATCCCAGATTCCTGACTCTAGTATTTTTGTAAGGTGATTCAATCCCTTTAGGTGTCTGTTTTTGGGCATTAAAACAAAGATAGCGACATCCTTACTCATTGTGTGTTTGGGGGGGGGGGGGGGCGCCTGGCAACATCGCTCCCTGGGCGCCAAAAAACCACGCGACGGCCCTGAGAGCACCTCATACCGTATTTCAGAATACCACAACCCAATTGGTATGTTTTGCTAGCCACGAAACAACAACAAAGTGGTAGTGTCTCAGACTTAGATGTGGAAGGGACGGAGTTAATTCCTGGCACAAAAAAAAGGTTGCACAAATCTTTATCTTCGCGTTGACCCCTTGCAAAATGTCACTGGCGTAGAAAAAAATGAGACCACTGAGAACCTAATTCTTCTGGCGGTAGCAGTGACAGAATCGGGCAACGTTAGTTGGGTATTGTACTTTGTGTAGGTTAACTGCGGGTTAACTGTAGCTTACTGGGCAGGTATAACGCAGTCGTGTTGGGTGCAAGTTCTCAAACACTTCTTAGATAAAATAAGTTTTCTGGTTCGAAATCTTGGTCTGATTTGGGACATTTTCTGTTTAGCATGCACATCGGCATCAGTTGAAAGCGTATTTTTGTAAATCAATAATGCTTGAATGTGTTCTAATGTTGCGGTATTCCTTCATTATTTAAACCACAAGTCTCAATAATGTAAAAACATGACATTATACAAGTTTATTTTTTAAAATTATTTGACTGGGAGGCTTAAACACATATTAAACTTATTATAATAGGTCTTCAAAATAGCTTCACTCATTTTAGCATGTTATTTCCAAATTTTTCCTGGGGGAGACCCCTGGACACCCCAGGCCCCCGGTGACCAACCCCTCCCCCTCCAAGTATATGTCTAGACCGCCCTTGGAAACTTAAAACATTTTTATTTTGACATTTTTCAGAATGGAGGACTGTGCATACGCAAATTGCACACATGACCTCTCACTTGAATTTCTACGGTAATGGTGAGTACGTACATGGTAGTGGTGAGTACGTCTGTGGTAATGGTCAGTAAGTCTGTGGTGATGGTGACTGGTGAGTAAGTATGTGGTGATTATGAGTAAGTCTGTGGTAATGGTGAATAAGTCTGTGGTAATGGTGAGTAAAGGCGGTTTCACACTGGCGTCCACGAACGAATAAATCGTTGCTCATGTTATCAGATGGGACCGTTCAAACCGCGCATTAATACGTAGCGTCCATCCGCGGACGCAGAAATTCATCCGTGGACGAACTAGCGGAACCGCTCCGGGAGCGGTTTTTCTAAAACGTCCGCGGACGTCCACACTCTTGCGCATGCGTACTGAGCACCTAACCACGTTTAGCGCAGCGTGGCATCTGTCCCTCACCTCAGTGTTAATTGTATACATTCATAAATTCATATACTCAGTCGTATTCATGCATATATTTAACTTTACTTAAATTAAAACTATTGTATTGTGCTACTACTACTTGTTGCCTATTTTTAATATTTTTCAGTAATTATAATGTTTGTTAAAGGGAATTATCAAACAATTTTTTGTATTAAGTTTTATACTCTCATGGTTTTTCCAACAATTATGTTGTTTCAAAATATCATTGTATGATTTTCAACTACCTATCAATTAATTGATTCCACAGCTAAAACTATTAGCATTGATGTATAGTATTATATATATGAAAAATCGCGCCCACCTTTAAGCACATGAGACAATGTGAGATTGCATTTCCATATTACCATTGCTCGGTTCATTTATTTAATAATCCCAAATAATAGATAAAAAATCATCGATAAAAAATCGCTCATTGGAATTCTACAGTTTGTCTCGGTTTTCTTTATTTCACCACCAATCATTTACAACACCTCTTCAAACTGATTGGACGTTAATCTAAAGTATGTTAAGAATCTGTCTTCATCTTGCTCCAGATTGTTCATTAGGTGATGGAATTCACAAAATCGCTGCCGCTTGCTGTTAATCGGACCCACTTTCTCATTTTTGGTAATGAGTACAAAAGTACAACCTCATCGTCACTATCATCACTATTGTACTTAAATCAAGCCACGGAACAGAAAATCCGGACTGATACCATGTGACAATATGCACAGACATTTTGTACACCTCCACCGAGTTGTAGGAGGAATGGCCAACTTCCCTACAGTATTTGCATTTGCGAATGAGTGGACGTTTGAAACGTAGCTCGCAATGTGAAGGTAGCATCCATCCAAATCATTTCATCCGTCTGCCAGTGTAAAACCGCATTGAGTCTGTTGTTCAACAGTTTTGTGTTTGTTATTAGATGTTACCCCTCATCTTTGCCCGACATAGCTTATTTGTATTTTATTACTATTATACTACTATGAACCCCCTGAACCGTGACTTGGCTAAAGGCTAAAATAACCTTTAATTTGCTGTTTAATAACAGTTAAAAGAAAATGTTAATATATTATAATTATATATATTTTTTAAATATACAGGGTGGCTGAAAAGTAACTTGCACCCCCACTTAACTTTTCAACCATTTGAGATATTTGAAATCGGTTTGCGGCAACCTTCTTAGATATGAGGGGCGACAATAATTATGGTCAATTTTGAAAATTTTGCCCTTAGGGGTAGCGGGGGTAGGGGGTAGCTCAAAATTTTCAAATGACAAGTATAGTCGAGTTTGGTATAATTTTACAGGTCTTGACGAAACATAAGAAATAACATAAAGAAAACCAAAATCGGCTCACTAATAACCAAATGGCGCCCTAAAACGTTTGAAATCCAAATAACCATGATTATCTATCTATCTATATATTAATAGGCAAGCATGTTTCTTTAAAACCTTTTTTCTCAGCTCGCGTGTATCGTAGGAAAAATCTACGCATACCGTTAGAAAGCTATTTTCCTGTAGGTGTGCAGAATCCCTTTATAAATTAAAATAGGCTCAAAAATAAGCACAAAAAATGAATTTGAATTTTAAAAAAATTAACATGGGTATTATGGGTTGCTATGGTGATGACGAAATAACAACACAATATAAACAGAAAATCAAAACAAATGGAAGACATTCCAATCACATGTTTTATTTACAGTGTGGGGTGAAAATAGAGAAGGTTGTACAAAACATACTTTTGGTCGATTTTTCGACCACGGGGCGTGCTCTCGTTTGTATTTTATTACACAACAAGATACCATGAGGGTGGCAAAAAAAATTAACTTGCACCCTCTTTAACTTTTTAACTATTTGAGATATTTGAAATCAGTTTGCGGAAACTTGTTTGGAAATGAAGGGCTACAATAATTATGGTCAGTTTTGAAAATTTTGCCCTTAAGGGTAGCGGTGGTAGGGGGTAGCTCAAAATAGCAAGTATATTATAGTTTGGTATCATTTTACAGGTCTTGACGAAACATAACAAATAACATAAAGAAAAAAGAAATCAGAAATGGGACCATTAATAACAAAATGGCAGCTAAAAATGATTGAGACAATGGTTATTTAAAGTAATTTTGAACTGCCATTTTGTTAATAATGGTCCGATTTCTATTTTCTCTATGTTAATTGTTATGTTTTGTCAAGACCTATAAAATGATACCAAACTCAACTATACTTGCTATTTGAAAATTTTGAGCTACCACCCCCGCACCCTTAAGGGCAAAATTTTCAAAACTGACCATAATTATTGTAGCCCTTCATATCCAAACAAGTTTCCGCAAACTGATTTCAAATATCTCAAATAGTTAAAAAGTTAAAGAGGGTGCAAGTTAATTTTTTTTGCCACCCTCATGGTATCTTGTTGTGTAATAAAATACAAACGAGAGCACGCCCCGTGGTCGAAAAATCTACCAAAAGTATGTTTTGTACAACCTTCTCTATTTTCACCCCACACTGTAAATAAAACATGTGATTGGAATGTCTTCCATTTGTTTTGATTTTCTGTTTATATTGTGTTGTTATTTCGTCATCACCATAGCAACCCATAATACCCATGTTAATTTTTTTAAAATTCAAATTCATTTTTTGTGCTTATTTTTGAGCCTATTTTAATTTATAAAGGGATTCTGCACACCTACAGGAAAATAGCTTTCTAACGGTATGCGTAGATTTTTCCTACGATACACGCGAGCTGAGAAAAAAGGTTTTAAAGAAACACTTGCTATTTGAAAATTTTGAGCTACCACCCCCGCACCCCTAAGGGCAAAATTTTCAAAACTGACCATAATTATTGTAGCCCTTCATATCCAAACAAGATGCCGCAAACCGATTTCAAATATCTCAAATAGTAACAAAGTTAAAGAGGGTGCAAGTTAATTTTTTGCCACCCTCATGGTTATTTGGATTTGAAACGTTTTAGGGCGCCATTTTGTTATTAGTGAGCCGATTTCGGTTTTCTTTATGTTTCGTCAAGACCTGTAAAATGATGCCAAACTCGACTATACTTGTCATTTGAACATTTTGAGCTACCCCCTACCCCCGCTACCCCTAAGGGCAAAATTTTCAAAATTGACCATAATTATTGTAGCCCCTCAAATCTAAGAAGGTTGCCGCAAACCTATTTCAAATATCTCAAATGGTTGAAAAGTTAAGTGGGGGCAAGTTACTTTTCAGCCACCCTGTATATATTTTAACTGCATTTATATTGTTTATTTTTGTTGCTGTTTGGAATAAATGTAATACATGTATGCCTGTTTGCTCACTAAATTGTGAAGATAAATGATAAAAAAATAAATTTCTGTCATCACATTCAATGACATAGGTACACAGAGTTCTTAAAGGTAGTCTCCTATAGGCTTCTTGGATCAATCACCTCTAACCCTGCAGTTCAGTAGTGCAAGATGGGCCGATAAGACTGACACTTCTTTTTTTAGACCTGGACTACTTCCTATCATTACAGTCACCCATGTGACTTATAACATGACAGACTTCACTATCTTTAGACCACCGCATATTTATATTCATTTTTTACTTTCTAAACTCTAACTTATCTGCTTGCTGAACTTTCAAAATAAAAAATTTTATTCCATATTTATCATTTAAGAAACAACCAACTTCATACAGTACAGTCTCTATAACCCGGCACTGCGCCACTCCTGCACTCCAATAATCTAGCGTCTTTTGGCAGCTGTAGTCTTCCACGATCGCGACAAATTTCTGATTATCTCCCGCAGCCATGAAGACAGCATCATTGATTCCCACAGTCACAGAAACATCATCGTTGTCTAGGGCGACCGCAGCAAATTCACGATCATCTCCCGCGGTCTTGTAGACATCATGGTTGTCTTCCAGGATCGCGACAAAATTCTGCTTATCTCCCGCAGCCGCATAGACTTGATTGATTTTAACAATTTTCCCTATTGGAAAGTAGCTAATACCGTAGGTCTCATGGTAAGACCTAGGCCTGGGACCGATTTACTTTTTCATTTTGATGTCCCTAGAGGTCAAAAACACCATTCGTTCAAATGTATATATATATATATATATATATATATATATATACATAAATGTGTCCGTCCAGACAATAGAGTAATTTTTGTCTGATTTTGATAAAATTTGGTTTGAAGGTGTAAGGCGAGATGATACACTTGAATGAGTTCGTGAACCAGCATGATTGGACCATGGGAACGGGGTAAAAATGTTTTTTTCTAATTTTTACCCTTAAAACACAAAATTTGTCAATTTTTCTCTGGACCTTTTTAAAGAGCTTAAAAAAACAAATAATTTAGTACATCAAAGTGTTTTTGTACGGTGATTGGTTACGGAGAAATTCAAAAAATTTTTTAATTTAAAATTCCCATGGTATTCTTATGGAGCTTATTGTAAAATGCTGTAGTTGGCTTGCTTATGCATATATTTTGATCAAACTTGGCGGATTTATTTATTTGGTACTAAGCTATTGATATTTTAATAAAAAACACACTTTATTAATTTCCCTGTAGCAGCTAACCTAGCTAATCGTTAAACATAAATTTTAATTTAAAAGATTAATTGAAAATCAATCCAGGCAAATGGAAATTCGCTAAGTCGGCAGGTTTGCTGCAGCGGGGGTATTTATACATCTCATCGATATTTCAACTAATTGCCATGATCTTAAGTTTTACTAAATAGAAAATGTTTTAATGATCCTCTCACAGAATGTACAACTATTACAATTTCTATTTCATCTTTTAGTTTTTCATGTGGTTGAAGAGGACATGACATAGGCTTATGCTACATTCTCTGCCTCTTATAAGTTGCCCTCTCAGTTTGGCATGAACACAAATTGGTGTGTAAATGAATTAGAAAAAAATATTTTTTCATTGTCACACTATTATAGTGACTTAATTTAACCAGCTTGTTGTTGTAAAACAGGCTACAATTTTGAGACGGAAATGGAATACAGTATCTACATACTGATGGGCTAATGAAAACCCAAACAAAATTATGGGCAGGAACAAAATGTTTGTAAACATACTTATGTAAACAAGCGTGAGCTTACTTTACTTCTACTTCACTTTAGTTAGTCTAAGTCAAGGACATGTGATAATTTAAATGTTTAGGCTTAGATTGGACGTTTCTTCTGTTTCCAGCCCACCACAAGACTGACTTGTTGAGTTCAATACAGAGTCAAGTTCAGATTCAGTTGCAGTGTCTCTCTACAAAACACAACATCCTACCACAAGCTTGTCAGGCATTCATATCTGCTCTACTGCTCTGCTTTGTGGTAAATCATATGATCATTAAGTGTTTAAATGTAATTAACCTTTCAGAGGGCGCAAATTGGTTTTCAAAACGGGAGAGGACGCACCTGGACCTGGAGGTTACTTCCAGGTCAATAAAAACATACATTTATGAAGTAAAATTTGTATTTTAGTGCATAAATTAAGGTGTATTTTTAATTTTAAACATCAAAAATGTGTTTAGTGAACTCTTAATTATAAAAAAACTTATAAATAAAAAAAATTATAAATATAAAATTAAACTATTATTCTATCAAATCTTCTAACATAAAAGTATATGAAGAAATCTTATATATTCAAGAAGTTAATTTAAATTTTACCACAATGTCCTATGATGTGGTTCTAGATTTTAACACTCACAATACCTGATGTTTAAAGTAATTTAACATAGTGGGTATCTTAATACTAAATGACTGTACATGAGTGAAAATTTAAAAACGTACGTTTTCAGAAAAAGCACTTTGCAAATTTTTTTCCCCTTTTTTCTAAACTTTTATTATTATTTTTATTTTATTAACATTTGAAGTTTCATAAAATGTCCATGGTAACGCAATATCTTTGGTATTTTTTTTTTAAAAAAGAGCATCTTTAGTGGAAAAACACTTAAATGAATATTAAAAATAGTTAATATTATTTTTATAACTATGTTTTGCTATAAACTAATTTACTTTTATGACCATTATACAATAAAAAGGTCACTGAGCTTTTGGTATATTTGGTCTTTCTAGAAAAAATAAAAAAAACTCAAAAAATTGAAAAAAAGCAAATAAAATATTTTTAAGTTTGTATAACTCTGAAAAAACTTACCTGAGACCCGAAAAATCGTTATGTTTGTATAGAGGTGTGCTTCTTTTGTGTATAAAACATTGAAATATGACGATATTTTAATTTTTGAAATTTTTATGATAGAAATCATAAACGTGATGGTCAGGGACAAGCGGTACGGTCGTGAATTTTCTGAAATAATCTAAATCTTTCTAAACAATCCTTCAATTATACTGTTAGTTATAATAAAAATAAGTGTTTCAATTGAACTAAACTGTTCAAATTACAATTATATTAAAGTTATTGTCACGACCAAACACACTATAATCCATAAGGCTGGATTGGTCGTGAAAAAACCCGCGATGGTCGTGAAACTTTGGTCGTGAAATTACGTGTTATTTGGCTCTGTTCTGGCGGTAGCCCTGCACCTCATGTTTGAGGATACAAAGTGGACTTCTAGGTTAATCTAGCAATTGAAATATCTTATAAACAAAAATTAACACCATGTCTACTTCGTCGAATGACTACGTACGGTCATGGATACACCAAAATTACAAAAAACACAATCTTTCCTTTATTAATCTTGTAATTCCTCCTTTCAACTCGAAACGACCGGCACTACAATCCTGACGTACACCCCGAACTAGTCTCTAAAACCAACTGACTCCATCGACGCCAGGCTTGCCACTGTCGTGCTCCAAAGTTGAAAATTTTTCCCAAATAGTCGTGACGCCAAATCGAGGGACAGACTTATTTTGTCATGGTAGGCAGTTTGCAATGACAATAAACTTATAATATGCTCCTTTTTTGTAAGTTTAATAACCATTGATGACATAAAAATATGGCTTTATATATTTCGGCATAAATAATTAGTCTAAAAACAGCGTGAAAGTTGGAAAATGTACCCTAGGGACACGTCATGGTCGTGAATTTCGAGACTTTAAAAATACGTAAAAAATACCTAGAACCTATTTAAAACCAAATAAATGTGTGTAACATGTTGCCCCCGTCCCAAAAAATATTAAAACACATAATAATATACTACAAATCCAGTATCTACAAAGTAAAAGGCCAGGGACATGAAAATGTATGTTTTTAAATTTTCACTCACATACGTCGTTTGTGAATATCCCTTTCAGCACTGGCTAAGAGTGCTGCAATTCGAAATTTAACTTCTTCACTCATCTTGTAAAAACTATATAGTTTTACTAAATAATGTCATGAATCGTAAAAAAATATTTATTTACAGTAATTATTTACACGCGATAATCAACACGCACACTAAACTAGAGGTCGCACGGAAGTTACCTCTAGGCTGTACAAGAATCGGCAGAGCGCGGAAGCTACTTCCAGTCTCTTACAAAACTAACAAATATAAAATAGTAGGGGTGAGTTTTGACCTTCACTCGATTCTAGGAACTTGAGGTGTGTAAGGGATACGGGTAGAGTGACACTCACACTGCCGACACCACTCAAAATAATATAATCGCGAAAAATAAAACACCCCTGGAGGTTACTTATCTGATGCGACCTTCTGGAAGGTTAATTGATATTGTAAGATCTTACCTGAGCAATCCTATTTTAATTAATAAATTTAAATAAATAGGATTGCTAAAGTAAGACCTTACAATCTATAATATTAAAACGAAACAGTGTTTTTTTATTTCACGACTCTGAATCAACCACTTGACGGATTTTCATGATTTTTGTGTTGAAAGAAAGATAATTTTGAGAACTAGGGAATGTCGAAGCCATAATTTTAGTTTAGGGATTCAGTTTTTTTAGAAATTAAGTTTTAATTTTTAAAAAGTCTAGCAGCCGACGCTAGCAATTTAAAGTATTTTCAATGCTGGTTTAACTAACAGCTGGTTTATAACTGTCATTGAAATGTTTATGTTACGATTTGTTTGTTTACAAAAATATTGTTCGTTGGTGTTTGCTTACATATTATTTCACTTTAAAATGTAGGTAGTTTTCCCTTACCGTGAAGGATCTGCGTTATCAGGAAATGTGTTATTTTGAACTAAACATCTCAAACACTTGCGTTTAATCAAGTTTTGTCGTAAATGCAATCTGTGTAAGCATTTAGTTTATGCATTGCAAATTTCAACTCATATTAGGAAATTTTAGTTTATCGCTTAATTGTTTAAGATATAAGTGGTTTACGTGTTGATACTTCTTTTTTGTATGTTTGAATGTGAGTATGTCGGCATACTAAAATTTTGGTTAGTAATGAACAAACCTTCAGACTAAGCGAATTTCAACTTGTATCAATTAATTATATATTTAAGCAATTAATATATACAAGTAACATTGAAAATTTGTATTTTGGCCGGCCTAAACAACAATGATAAGCGTAGTGGTTGTACAGACCGGTACACTGACTGACTACAGTAATTTAACAAGACAAGAAGATTTGACAATGGAGCTGTTAGCCCCAAAACTATACCGGGTGTTTCAAAATGACTCACCCGGTTTTAACGCTTTATAACTTTTATACTATTAAACTTACCGCTATTAAAATACACATCAAACGAAAAAGCAACTCAAAAGAGTTTATGCCTACCAAAGACACATTATTTAATAAAATCGATCCAGCAGAACTGTAGATTTAATTGTACAAAGTTAAAAAGTTATCTCCAACTTTTTTTAGCACTAGAAATTTGGAGGTTACTTGACGTTTTTGCAAATAACTTTTAAATGGTGAGGAAATCGACCAAAGTGGAAGGTAATATTCCGAAAGAGAATAAAATTTCCTACAATCTACTATTGAGCATTTTTTGAAAATACTCAAGAAAGGTACCAAAAATTGCTTAGAAATGAAAAAAAAATTGAAAATCCCCGTCTTCAATGTAGACAATAGACATAGCAAACATTAAATTTTACACTTTTTTAATTTAAGGCAAATTTAGGCTACATTTATTGAGTATTTTCAAGAAATGCATAACAGTAGATTGTAGGAAATTTTATTCTCTTTCGGAACATTACCTTCCACTTTGATCGATTTCCTCACCATTTAAAAGTTATTTGCAAAAACGTCAAGTAACCTCCAAATTTCTAGTGCTAAAAAAAGTTGGAGATAACTTTTTAACTTTGTACAATTAAATCTACAGTTCTGCTGGATCGATTTTATTAAATAATGTGTCTTTGGTAGGCATAAACTCTTTGAGTTGCTTTTTCGTTTGATGTGTATTTTATAGCGGTAAGTTTAATAGTAAAAAAGTTATAAAGCGTTGAAACCGGGTGAGTCATTTTGAAACACCCGGTAGTAATCATAAAAAGACTACTTTGGATTGAAGACGTAAATAAGGTATTTGTCCTATTATTATTATTACTCTTTATCAATCCAGGAGGCAAAACATGGATAAAAAAAATGAAAAAGTTAAGTATGCAAGGAAGTATTAAATTTTATTTTTGGACCAGAAGAAAACTTTAAGTGACAAAGTTGTTGTAGTTGAAGAGATGCTTTCAGCGAATTTCCCATATAGGGAATAAGCTATTACCGTAGTACTCATGGTAAGACCTGGACCCGGGATCGTTTTTTTTTTCGTTTTGAGTTCCCTAGAGGCCAAAAACACCATCCGTTCAAATACATAATATATATATATATAATATATATATATATATTTATATATGTGTCCGTTAGCGCGATAACTCGAGCAAAAACGATCCGAATTTGATGAAATTTGTTACAAACGTGTAAAACTACGTTTAATTGAACGAGTTAGCGAACCAGCATGATCGGACCATGGGAACGGGGGTTTATGAGGGGGTTTTATGGGGTAAAAATGGGTTTTTCCCATTTTTGACTCAAAATACATAAAATTTTGCAATTTCTTTCCAAACTATTTTGTAGAGCTTAAAAAACAAATAATTTAGTATATTGAAGCGTTATAATGCACCTAATGGTTACGGAGAAAATTCCAAAAAATTGTAAATTTAAAATTCCCATTTTATTTTTATGGAGAATAAGTAAACTGTTGTAGTTTGCTTGTTTATTGACATATTTTGCCCAAATTTGGAAAATGTTTTTATTTCTTACTAACTATTAATATTTTACATAAAAACACTTTTACCCTCCCTGTTGCAGCAAACCTAAGTATGTGTTAAACTGATTCTATTTAAATAAGGAATGTGATATTTTTAAGGAGACATTTTTTAGTGTAAATCCAATCAGGCAAATGGAAATTCGCTTAGTCTGCAGGTTTGCTGCGGCTGGGGTATTTTACATGTGATCGAGCAATTATAATTAAGTGTGTAGTTTTTGTTTTTTTTCTAGGATGCTAGGCACGGATTGTTTTTCACATTACTTCAGGCTAGACTTAGGGGTTGCGGCATTATCACTTAGATAAAATCCATTGGTGACTTGGCGGGAATCGAACCCGGGACCTCAGGGACTGAAGTCCCGTGCTCTAACCACTACGCCCGCTTACTCCCCAGTTTGTTTGTAGTAGGGTGATTAATAGCGCAACGAGGTTGATTTTATGTCGCACCAACCTATGCTCAGTCCAGCAACTCTTTATGTTTTTTGCTACTCGATCATTGTAAAGCTAAATAAATTTTAACCATTTTTAATAGTTGATATAAGTTAAAAAAATACAACTATATTCTATGGATGTGATCATATATTTTATTTATTTGCAGATATCAATACCGGTACTGGGCTGGTGCCCATGAATGAAACTGATAGGGACACTGTTTTACAAAACCGTTTATTTCTCCAAGGATAGGAACATTATGAATGAATGTAACAAAAATAAGTTAGGTGTAATGCAGAGATTCAAGAAATTGGTTTTGTTTCACAACATGTAATGCAACCTTTGTACTATATTTAAGTACGATTGTGAACAGTAAATAAAACATATTCATAGAAATACTGTTTAGTATTAACCAAACCCTTTTCTCTTAAGTGTGATGATATGAATTTTAAAACATGTGCAGAATAACAATGGCACTCAAAACACTTTCTTGCTAATCGTGTCTTTTCAACATTATTAAAATACTCCTATTGTCAAAGGAACACGACTAACAATTCGATGTGTAAATTTATTATTCAATTTTTGTTATTGCCTTTACCTTAAATACTTGCTGGGTTTAGTATTTGGTGTGACCTTATCAATTACTCGCTCTGAACTTTAATATTTGAAATTTCTCATTAATTACCAAACAAAGCAGATAGTAAACGATTCCTTCTTACAACTAAAGAAAGGGGGATTACCAGTCCCTGTATACAGTATATTCTACATTTTATATTTTAATTTACGGTAACATTGTAAGTAAATAGTTTACCTACAAGGTGATAATACAGTATTTAATTATGTGTTACCTGTAATAAAAATGTATTTAATATAACTATTGATTGTATACTCAAAATGTTTCTGGGAGTACCGTAAACGAAAAGATCAGCGGAACCAGGGAGGATGGCCCGCGGCGCAATTTATAAAGAACCTCTTTGCGTTACTAATTACTTTCTTACATACGACTAACAAATTTTATTTGAAATTGCAAGGTTATATGCTGAAGATCATCTCATTAGCTACAATTTTGTCGCTTGAAGTACCTATGCTTCTGAACAAAAATAAAAAAAACTACTCGCTTAGTAGCTTTTCCATGTCAAGGTATGATATTTTTTTAATATTTTCAGATGTTTAAATTTGAATTACTATTAAAATAAGATTATATTTATACTGTCAGATTCTGTATTTAATGCAGATTCCGAATATATAACTTTAATTGCAGTCAACCTATTGTGTGGACGGCCAGGAGCGTATTAACAACCGCGTGCACGGCTTGAGGAACTGACATATCTGCGTTGGGTCCCACATAGTGGTGGGGGAAGGTTGCCAAAACGGCGCGCTTTTTATACCACATCTCCTATCTACCCACGTGTTCCAGTTGTGTTATATACTTCGATGGTCAGATGCTGTGCAGCACTATTATTATTTTGTTTTTGCATATATGACAACAGCTAATTTGAACTAAGCAGCAACAAAAAGCCGTTATACACAATGAGAACTGTCAAAGTAGGATTGTTTACAGTTATGTTTATGTTTCTAATTAATTTGTGATATTGTGTAACTTTTTGATAATTTATTTTTTTCTGTTGTTTAGGTGCAGTGGTAGAACATTATGGCTATGGTAAATGTGTTATACTATATCATACTGTAAATTTAAAGAACAAAATGTTATCAAACTGTGTCCTCCCCCATTGCAAACGCAAAGCTTGAGTATAACTGCAATAAGCATTTTATAGCCTACTTATATGCCAACCCGGGACCCGTGTTTAAAAAAATTCTTGACTATAACCTCACTGTAAATAAAGTGACGGAAGACTGACTGAATCAAACTGATGGTCGACGGACAGTTGACTGAGGGATTGCGGATGCAACTGAGACTGAACTGTGACGGAACACTGACTGGACTAATGTGTGTGAATCTTGGTATAACAACTAAAGCATGATGCAAAAAATTTTCTGTTTTATCAAAAAATAATGTATATATATCTAAAAAAGTTGAAACATCCTTCTCATATAAGTTATTTTCGTATTTGTTCCTTTAGAAGAGAGCATCTGTTACACTGTGCTGGGTCGGCTGTAAGTTTGTGGTCAGTCTGATGGAGTTCACTTTCCTCTACGAATGGTGCAGACAATTCTTTATTCAATTCTTCAGCTTTCATTTCCCCTTTGCGTTGTTTGCAGTCATTTTCATATGTGAGTATGTTAGCAACAAATAATACTTTTTAGACAATGATAATGAATAAATTTAGTGGAAAAATAAGAATTAATAATATACCAGACAGAATAAATCTTACATATATGCAATCTAAAATAAATCTTACCTTATGCAATTGAATGCAGTATAGAACCGTGTGTTATCTGTAAATAAACGACAACGCCTGATGGCACAGTGATGCTGAAACGGCAAGACATTGACAAAGGTAACTTATTGACGTTTACACGTAAACACGTTACACGTTTATACGTTTAAGGTAACTTTTTACACTTTTAGTCACAGGATCAACTTAGGGGCTAAAATATATTGATTTTAATTTTCTGTAAAGCTGAATTTTGGACCTTTATGAGACACACTTTATTCAGCTGAAACTTATAAGCATTGTGTATTTTACTACAGTTTCCATAAGTAATTTGATAAGAAAAATATTTGTTCAAATTCAGCATTAAAACATCTTTTTCCTACAGTCACCCGACAAAGTTAGCTTCCTTGTACTGTTTATAGTACAGAAAGCTGCTAATTGCTGAATATTTATACTTTGTCGTACGGTTTATACTTTGCCGCACATCAGGATTCCAACGAAACAACACAAAACAGCGTGGTTCTATTATGCACGTAATCCATGTACGCTTGGAAATAGGTTGGCAACACTTAAAGATAATAATACTATGAGCAGCTGATTGACTATTATAACTACGATTTAACCTGTCATTTTGTGTTTATAGTTTCGGTATTTCTGAACTTTCTGGACTTTTCTTTAAAACGTTTTTAAAACATTCCTACGATCTTAATAAACAAGAAAATACCTTTATGGCATTTTTTTAGGCGTGGAAACCACTTCAAATTACAAAAACATATGGAACTATATTCTCAAAACGCGGAGCACATTTCTTGCCGAGGAAAAATAGCGGAGTGATACGGACCGGGTACTACTTTCTCTAGGGCACCTATTTGTGTTGCCAGCTGAACCTAAAACCGTGTTATATAGTGTTTGAAAGACTAATTATTTATATGCTTTATAGTGACTGTAGGAAAAATATAATGTGTAACACGAGTGCAAAAGGCCTTTGCTGCACTCAAGATCATTCCGCACGAGCCGCAGGCGAGTGCGTAAACATTGCTCTCGTGTGCAGCAAAGTGCCACTTTGCCCACTAGTTACACAAATAACTATTTCCACACTAAGTTATACTGTACATACACAAAGAGTAATTATGACAGAAATGTAAGTTAAAATAACATTTATCATGTAAGAAATAAATCATCAACTCCTCGCCATGAAAATAAATCATGTAAAAGTGCAATAACTTCTAAAAAGTAGGCCTAACTAAATACCAAACAACAATATAATTTGACACTCCTCGAGAAAGAATTATGTAGTGATTTTACAAAGCCCAAGCATTTGACAATCTTTCATGTTTGTAATAAGTGGATGGATTTTCCTGACAATTGTTTTACAAATAGAATTTCATATTTCTGTTCCAGCTGTCTATGCATATGGAGTGTTAGTGGCAGTAAGTTACTATGCTGAACTTACTGGAAATCAAGCATCATACAATTTAGACTCAAAGGAAATGGAAACCAACGTTGACATACCTATTTCTCCAGATTTGCCTAATTTTTAGGGTTTTAGGATACTGTTCATGAAATCTTCATAGCGAGCTTAAGTTACAAAATAGTGTTAATGTCAACTAACTGTGATCATACAGACTAAGTAGTTTTAAGATAGGAAACTGTAAATTTATAATTTGGCTTTGCTTACAAACAATTCTCTTAAATTGACAACTGAGAAGAATGGCAATAAAAGCTGTCTGAATAACTCACTTATAATGGTAGTTTTTCTAAGTGATTATATAAAGACCTTTAAAATAAAAACTCTCTTTTACTTTACGAGGTTAATTGTAATTTGATTATGTTCCTCAGTTCAAATTTAATTTTTGGTAATACAGCTTCAAAGTAAACTTGGACTCATAAAATAAAAATGACGTTAGCCGCAACCTGAAGCCAGGATTTTTCACTAATCTACAACAAGATGGCGGCTGCCATGTATAAATATTGATATTATAAAACAAGTGCAGCTAACTAAACCTAGTTTATAGCCTTTGTGTTACAAATATTTCTATTACTAACACAATGACCTTCATATACGCTTTTAATTTTGTTTCTAGCGTTTACCGTTTCTTTGAAAAAGTTTTTTTTACATAAATAACAAAAAAAAAACTTTTTGGGCGTAACAAAAATTCTGAAAACCAACAAATTAATTTATAATATATGTATCTATATTGTATAAAAGTTTGATAAAGTTCTGAAGTTTGGTTTACAATGTACGAATTTTCAAAGTCACGTGATATTTGTTGAAACTCTTAAAACAACGCTCCTTTATATTACTGTCATACCGGTATTAATTTTGATAAATATTTTTACACATGTGTGTTCAGTGCAAACAGTTATGACATAATTTCCACTAATACCTATTAAGTTAATGTTTAATCATTGTACGCACAATGCTAAATGTTATAACAAATGTAGTAAAAAAAATTGTGATTCTATTAGTAGGCCTGCCCAACGCGGCATGTCACGCCGCAGAGGGTATCGACTATGGTATAACCAAAACTACAACCAAACTATAGCAGCTAAAAATTTAAAAAAATATGATCCAGAAAATATAACTCTTTAGCTACAAAATCTACCATTTTAACTTACCCGACTAAAAAATAAAAAAGTAGTAGTAAAAAAATACTGTAAATTGGCTGTTACGTATATATTGACGTTTACATATTGTTAATCAACGTACCTTATAAAGGATTTTGTGATCTAGTTTAAAAGGAATATGACCTTTCTGTCATGACGGTAGCTGCTTAAATAGTATTTTCTCTTTGTACCATATTTTACAGCCAAAATGTCGTGTTATTTTCAATAATGTTACCAAACGAGTGCAAACCAAAATAATTTGTAAAGATGGGTACAAATTTAGGCAAGGTTTCTATGTTTGGATATTATTAGACACGATAAGAGCAGATATTTCAACATAAATATTTGATATGTGTAGAATAATATGATAAAATGTTGGGAAAAGTGGTGAAAAAAACAGACACCAACCCGTACAATAGATATAAGATAGTTCAATAACAAATAATTTAAGAATTGCTGTGATATAAGGATTTTCCACTGATTTCGTAATGGAACGTTATATTGCAAAACATGACATGATAAAGAAGAAAATCAATTTTAAAATCAGAAAATAACATTGGAAATACTTATTTGGTAGAATCTTTGACTATTAATACAACAACGTCTATATCCAATAGCAATTGGTAGAATTCAGTTACTCCCAATAAATGTGTGTTGTTTGAAATACAATTAAAAATGAACAGCTGTTTCATTAAAAAGTATTATTTACATGGCCAAAATGTAAACAACTCTGTGGAGGGATCTTTAAAGGCTTCTGGGGCAGAGTCCTAAGGGATTTTGCTTAGTTTTTCTTTTGATAACTCATCTACAGACCACGACCTTTCTTTGGACACCTCTACCAAGTTTCTACTCCCAGCCATTCTCTCAAATAAGTGGGGACAAAGTTTCCAATTAAATATTTAGATTCCCCCATGTTAATCTTATGGGAGAAACTCCAACTTTGATGGCCTGTGGGGCAAAGCCCGAGGATTTTTATTACAGGAATTGGTGAAAGGGGGCGTCTACACAAAAAATACTTTATTTTGACACGTCGTTTGTAAAAATCCGTCCATTATTAAAGGAGGAGTAGTGTTTCGTAGAAATCGCCTTCACATATTATATATAAGGATTTGTAAATATTCTGACCATCTATGGCATGAGATATGTGGTTGATTTTTCCCACTTGTGTTACAGAGCATTCTACGACAGCTATAGACAACTTTGTTACTAACATAAAAGCTGAGAGCTTACGAGTAACTGGTCTAATAACACATATCTCTAATCATGATGGCCAGCTGTTAGAGTTGAACAATGTAAATTAAAAAAAAATAGGTTAACAGGAAACAAGTGCGCAAGTTCAATCTTTGTAACACGAAATCATTCTGTAGGGGTTTGGGCTCCGAGTCCTGTTTTCTGGTTTTTCAATCTACTGTCGATCTTAAATATAATACATTTTTTAATAATTTCAAACACCAATTTGACATAAACTTCCCAAAATTGTATACAACTGAAAGGGAACATAAAACAAATCAGTGGATCAGTGAGGAAATAAAAAATAAACAGGCAGAAATAATTAACTTAGAGTCTCAGTTTAGCCAAAGATGAAAATCTAAAAATGTTGATAAAGTCTGAGAAAAAGGAACTTAAAACAGCAAAATACAGTATTTTGATAATAAAATCCTTAAATCTAAAAATAAAAGCAAAACCACTTGGAACTTGATTAGATCAGAAGTTGGTAAAACTTCTAGGTCCCATTCAAATGCAAATATTAAATTATTACACAATGGAATCTACTTGACAGATCCAGAAGTCATATGTGAAACTTTTAATGACTTTTTTGTCCATGCGGTAAAAGAATTGGTAACTCCTGACACTGCAACAAATTCTACAAACTATAATATTGGCAATGAACATCCAGATATCACCTTCAGTTTTAAAACCGTAACGGAACAGTGTATAAAAAAAAATATTATCCTTTGATAACAAATTATCCACGGGTAAGGATGAAATTCCCATTACAATCATTAGGGCTGCCCTGCCCTACATTGTTGGTTTTTTATCTAAACATCTGTTAACTATATCTGTTTTTTAGAGTTTCCTAGCAAGACCTAACAACAAATTGTTTGTAAATAGTTGAATGTATTTACCTTACATCATATTTTACTGAATTAACGTGTTGTTTTGGTTACAGTTTGGTGTGATGAAATGAATGTTTGAAAGTGATTATTTCCAGTGCAGTTACATCACAATATCATGTAATTTACAACGTATATAACAATTCCGTTGTAGTGTTTTCTTCTGTTGTTTTGTTAACTTTTGTAATTCATCTAAATTTAAAATAATATGCTACCAGTAAGACGAATACTGTGTGTGGCTGGAGGAAACGTGAACGTGGCCGCTTGCATCAATCTCCCAATGTATCATTTGAAGATTACAGAGTGGCAACCATCGTGTGGGACACATCTAACCTTGACAAATGAATGTTAAATGTTTACATTCAATTCAATTCAATTCAATTCAATTATTTAAGATGGGGACGCCACTATGTGCGTATTTTAACCCAAATATGAGTGAAGGATGAGTGTAGGATGAGTGGCGCGATCTTGTAGTCTTGTTAGTGACTAAGGCCGACATGTTCCTTAGACACAGCTGTTAATTAATAGCCCATACAGCTAATGGCAACTAAGGGACCTACAGTTTATAGTGGAATCCGAACCACATTTTTCCTTGTAATTTACGAATTGGTCTAATTATCAGGATAATACTGCGGATAGTCGTAGTACTCACTAGTGCGGACGTTAATCCACACCAGGGAGCATCGCATCCACAGTGCATCCCTATAAATATCCACAATTCATTGTGGTGGCTTACATTTTAAGCAAAAAAAAAAAAGAGTTTAGCTGATACAGTTCAATTGTTACTCTTTGTTGCCATAAACGAGAGAACCATTTACCTCATTTGCGGAATTCACCATACTTTCAGGAACTTATTGGAAACTCCCAATCTGAAATCAGGGATGTCAGGCTCTAGAAATTATTAGAATAAAATTTGTCAATTCAATTCCGCCTTTGCCATGGTCAGCTCTGAAGCTTATTTAGGACGAGAGGATCATACAGGGGATCTACAATTTCAAGATCCATGACACTTGAAAGGAAAGATTCAATGATAAAATATGTGGGATATAGGGTCACATTGCCAACCCATTTGCCCAATCTTTTAAACTGTGGCAGAAATGTGTAGGGACGAGAGCTCCGAGGAGTTATGGGAGATTCTTTTGTACATAATAAGAGACTAAATAATTGGCTTTCCTCGCTACAATGATGCGACCTGTATAAATGCCACCGCTATTTTTAAAGCTGAAAACAGAGGACCACCAGACAAAATAAATCTTAGTTTCTTTTTTTCCAAAAACTAATAATGTTAAACACGAATCTGTTCTAGATCCGTCGTTAGATCCACTTGCTTGCCCTCCAATGTTCCCAACTGGAGACTTTGGTTGGGGCCCCTAATATAAACACACCTAAAACAGAACCTATCGTAGAAATAATTTAACAGTGCTATATTACGTGTCGTACTGGTTTGCGTCAAGAGAGGGATTTGGCTTGCAACATTAGGTCGGAAAAGCTCACTTTACAGGGTGTGGTTGACATCTACGTTCTCATAGTGGGGACCCACCTACAATACATAAGAGATGACCAAAGCAATATGAGATCGGATCTATATTAAATATTGTAGGTTAGTTTTATAATTTCTTACAACATAATATTTTTCGTATTTCTATAATCAGTCATAGACTTTAGAATTACTCTTTGATTGAGGTCTTGCTGTTTATGTTTTTGTTGTTTTTTTTTTTTTTTATTAGCCTATAAGTTGCAGTTTTGCTCGATTTCGAGCAACACAGGTTATCTAGTTATTATTTAAAGAAAGGAAAATCAATTTGAAGGTCATTAATTGTTATACAGACTGTCCCAAAAGTCCCGGAGTGGTTTAATATTTTCCAAACGACAACAGATAAATCAATAAGATTTTGCACATCAACACCACACCTAAAACTCTACTTTTTTAAGGAACTATCAATTTTCTATCATATCATGGGGACGCAAGGAGTCAGAAGGAAATCTTAAATAGAAGCATAGGTTGACATGTACATCAAATTAAAGACCTTTACCAGCAGAATATAATGCCACAAATTTGACCTCAAACGGATACCTGAGTAAAAAATGGCAGCCGTTCAAAAATTTCTTGAACCTGCCATTTTGAATCTTTGAACGACTGCCATTTTTTACTCAGGCGTTCTTTTGAGCTTGAATTTACGGCATTGCAATCTATTAGTGAAGACCTTTAATTTGATGTGCATATCAACCTATGCTTACGTTAACAATTTTCTTCCGATTCCTAGGGCTGTGCCCCCGGAGGAGTAAGCGTATAATAGCAATGCAAATTAAATGAATCTTTGAACCACTGTCATTCTTGGCTCGGTTGTCCGTTTGAGTTCAAATTTGCGGCATTATATTCTGCTAGTAAAGACCTTTAATTCGATGTACATGTCAACCTACGCTTCTATTTATGACTCCTTGCGGGACGTCCCCATGATGTGACAGAAAATTGATGTTTCCTTAAAAAAGTAGATTTTTAGGTGTGGTGTTGATGTATCAAATCTTAATGATTTATCTGTTGTCGTTTGGAAAATATTAAACCGGTCCGGGACTTTTGGGACAGTCTGTATATATTCTGTTTTGACTGCTGTAAAATCCCTAGTTTTAGCGATCTAGATAAAAAAATTTATGTTGACACAATTTCATGTACCAATCTGTACATTTTATGAAATAAAGAAGTTGATTGATTGATTGATTGATTGAAAGGTACAATCAAACGTTCACCAAGTTGAATTATTCTTGCCTTTTCACATTGTAAAAATACAAATAAATCAACAAACACTGTTTATTATTTTAGAAACTAACATGAGCGTACATAAACTGGTTTCAAAAAGCTACGTTAGAAAACATAGGTAGCCTACTCAAAGGTTAATTAAAAAACAACTTAATCTTGAAAGCATAAAAAAAGACAAATTAAACATTTGTGTACTTATTTAAAACTTTTTAGTGGTAAAAGGTAGAACCTATATCTTCACTTGTTTGAAAATATTAGTCAGATGTAGATGTGTGAGTTCTTAAAGCGATAAATATTCTTTAGCATCGTTCATCCCGGATGATTCAAGAACCACGCAGCAGTTGTTGTTCTGGGATATTATCACAGGAGTATTGCTCACATCAGACACTGTGCTAAGATCTTGTGATTGAAACTCTTCAGAGCCAGAAGTTGTTTCAGATTTTATCATACTTTCGTCCAGCAAAATCTGTTGGTTATCGTAGATGTTATCCTCCAACATGTACAAGTGGTTCGGCTCGTTGAAATCTGTTGCTAAAAACATCTGTTCGTTTTCCTGAAATCCAAACAAGTTGGTTTCTTGGATACTAGAGCCAGGACAGGAGAAGAAGGACGAGGTCCAAGGGGATGAAGGGGGGGAGAATGTCAGAGTTGAATATTCAGGGGACTGAAACATATTAACAATTCTGTTAGAATACTTTGGAAAGACATTTCTAAAAACCTTAAAGATATTCTAAAACAATTAAACTACACATTTATACAAACGTTTGGACATTACTACTTTAATGGAATACAGGAGGTAGTTTTGTGATGTGTCAAAACCAAACCGAAAATCAAAACTCAAGACCACCAAAACATTGTAAAAGTTCTGGTTTCAAGATTCAATGGATGAGTTTTCAGATTTAAAACTAACACTGAGGAAACAACTAAATTGTATCCTGAACTGCAACAGTTGATGAAAAAGTAAGCATGATATCATTTATTAAATGTAATTTTTTGTAATCTTGTTCAGGCAATTAAACAAGTTTTGCCTTTCGGGTTTGAAATTTGAAGTTTCTGGTTTCGACTATCAGTAGTGAACCAATTTTAGTGATTGGTGATTGGTGTACCCTAATCAAACAACAAACAAATTACAGAACTTAAAGAACGTAATCCCTTGAAATTCAAACCTCCCTTGTTGGCATAAATACTTGATATTTCACACTCTTTTCAGAACTTGTATTGCATCAGAGGTTCAGTGTCATCATCTATTAGCAATTTAGAAGCAATAACGTTTGGTTTCAGTAAGCACTTGTGCACTAATGCTGAGTGATATTGGTATTTGGTTTCTTTGAGCATTCAGAATGGAGAATGGATAGTAACATAAGTCACATCATTCTGCAGACACCGTATTGAAAGACCCAGGTGCTTGAGAATCCTGGGGTCAAAACAACCAAGTTTTGTTTTTAAGAGTTTGGTGGCGTCTTTCAACTTGCATTTGCCTGTCCACATAGACTACGGATCTGTGCGTGGGATGTATCCAGCTAAGCAAGGAATGAGCCTGTGTACACAAGGCTACACAAGGTTGAAGTGAAGTGATAAAAAGTACCAGGATCTACCCACGGAGGTACCGACAGAGCCACTAACTCAACAACCAAAGTTTATAAACTCTTTGAATAGGTACTTACCTAAATTCATCTCATTTAAGTTATGAAATAATTTTTATTTTCTATATATTAGTAACAGGCTATACATTTTTATTGAAAGAATAAATAAGTGTTTATCTTCTGGTCAAGCCTTAAAAGTAACCTCTGTCTAGATAGTATTGCTGGAAATCCCAGTCAAAATTAGATAAGACACAGGTAATAAAAACGATTATTATTGGTTATAATAAAACCTATAGTAGTGTATCTTTAATAAGTTAATTAGGTTTGATGGTAGTAATAAAACACTATGATATTTTGGGGTTGTTTAATTAATGTATTTTATAACTTTCACACATTTCAGTAATGATAATTGATTATTTGTAGTGTATTCATATTAGACACATCAGATCTCTTTTGTACAGTTGTGAAGTGGTGTTATGTTTACTAGAACACTACAGGACTATGTACTTGGTACGCGGTACGGTATCTTACGTTAGGTGAGATCTTTAGAATACGGCATGTTTACATACTAAATGGCACATTTCAACTTTCGGAAGCTATGAAACATATCGTAACTAAACCATGTCAGAATAAAAAACAAATTAAGTCTACTGTGATAGTACAATTTATAAAAATTATATGTATAGTTTCTGTATAATAAACAATTTCCTTAAGCTAAATGTGTAAGAAGTGAAAGAAAGTTACAAAATATTATTCCAGTGGATATAAGGAATAAACAAACTGTTTCTAAACTTGACTATAGTTCATTATTTACAAGTGTTTGTTTGTAATTACACCTTGGTGTAATAGTAACTCAAGTGAAAAATCATTACTTGATGTTCATTTATAACAAGTGGCTAAATAATGCTATGGAAGAACTGAGGAAGAATAAATCTTCAGGATCAATGGAAAAATAAACTGTTTACGGACTAAAAAATTCCTTAAAATGTGATTTAAATTTCAATAAAGTTAGGATTCTCCTTTTAGAACAGATTTAGAGGTGACAGAACATTTTTTTGTAGATGTACCTTAACATTAAAAGCCAATGAACAAATTAGCTTAAAAATGTTCAAATTTAATCTTATTTTAGATTTTTCTTGTTTGTTAATAGAGTTGAGTCAAAAATTAACCCATCTCATTGATACTAAAGCTAACTTATACAAAAGCTTTTTGCATTGTAATATCAATTGAAACACTATTCAAACAACTTGAACTTTCTCAACATGACTCAGATTCAATTTTCTCATTAGATACTATGAAGATTTTTCCACACTATCTTTAATGAATTCCAGATAAATGTGTTTTAGCCCGTAAACGGTTTTAAAACAAGTGATACCAACCTAAGAAAACTGAAGACTCTTCCGAGCCTGAGAAGACAGAACGGACCACTTTGTGTCTACAAACCTAACTCGATAAGACACAGACCTTTGGTCCTCAAAATTGAGCTGATGTGGGGACAAACACAGCTACTCTAGTGATATTTCCAGGTGATTGCCAACCGATCAAATTTACCTAGTTTACAACTTCTTCACGGTTAGTTCACTTAGTTCCATAGTCAAAAATCAGTAATTTAAAATAATTTCGCTATGTCAGATTGTAGTACAGTTGACTCTTAAAAATCTGGAAATTACATGACTAGTAGGGTGTCAGATTACCAAAACATCGGATGACGGTAAAAAATGCCTTCATGGGGTTGTTTTTCTGGATCACGTTAGATATAAATAAAATGTTTCAATGGCTTACTCTGTTATGTGATATCCTTAAAGATTTGGCTTTGTGTCATCACCATCAGATGTGTAAAATAATTTGAAATTTGTTAGGAACAACGCATTATTACAAGGCTAAGTAAAATACCGTATCCTTTTTCAAAATAATAAAAAAAATTACAGTAACCTTTAAGCACACTGAAGTAAACTCATGATATAAGTACTATTTTACGCTTTAGGGGTTTGAATTTATCTAATAAAACCCCAATTTAAATTTCAAAGCTGTATTGACAAAGATTATTATGACTCATCTAGCACTGAAATGGGTATATATAACTTAAGCTGTCAGAAAACATTTTTGTATCTAAAGTTAAGTTTATATATTTTCCTACAAATAGTTGATGTGATACAGATAGGTTTCAGTTATTTGTTTGTTAAGAGGAAATTGTACATTGGATGTTGCACATGACAAAACTGCAACAACTTTTTGAAATAAGACTTCTTACACACTTAATTTATTTTAGTTGCTAAAACATACTGTTTTAAGAGTCTCACAATTTATTTTTATGTTCTAATTTTATTTTCAAACTATGGAAACTTGTAAAGCAAGAATTACCTGATGTAATTGGAAAAAACTGAAATAAAAATAAAATTTTACAAAAAAACTAGAAAAATGAAGCGTAAACTACCCTGACTTTTAAATATTGCAATAGGAGTTTACTCTATAATGTTTATTTAACCATTCTTTTTAGGCTTGATTATTTTAAACAATATACTGTGATTTTTAAGTTTTACAATGCTAATAGAAGATAAAATTGAACAGTTGGCAAACCCCTGTGACGAGGAAGATTGGCACAATGACAATGCATGCGCGACTGGCCCAGAATCGACTAGACATTCTAATCTAATGTTGGATAAGGCACACCGTATCAGGACAATGTTATGTTACCTAAACCTAAAATAACATTACAATAGTCGACAACAATACTATCTGAATATGATTTGTTATATCTATAAACACAATCGACGATTATTCGTCAGCCTGAACAACTTATCACACTTGGGTCATACTCGTGGAGGTTTTGTGTTTACGAGCTATACGCGTGGGAAGGAACAAAATTTTACACATAAATCCTGAACCCAGGGATAATATAAAGCTATAATTAACATATATATGTCACAGGTAATGGTTTGCAATGTCGGTAATTGTAGAACTTATTTAAACTATTGGCAATATCCTAAAATTGAAGTATTTTAAATTTTCAAAGTACTTTCCATGCTGGTGAAGATGTATTTAAACAAGAGATTACTGTTTGATTACTTACATACTTTGAAAAACTTTCAATACTGTATGTAGCATTATATAACTAGAATCCATCCAAAAATTATAAACTTTTTAATTATTTTTATATTACATACAGTCCCTACCTGAGGTTTAATCTAAACATGTTGCCCCTAATTTATTTTGTAATTTTTTTAGATAATCTAAAACTAAAATATTTATTCATCTCATTGCTAGATAATTAAGTGACATTCTATACGGTTTGGAAAACCGCTGTTTGCATTTAATGGAGTTCGAGTGAAACCTTGTTTTCCATATTTATAACTGGAATAGCTGTACTTAAAAGGAAGCAAATAAAATGCCTAATCATATTTTTTTAAAGCTAGGATTTTGGAGCAGTCTTTGTAGCCATTTGCTAATCTCTAGTACTTTTCTTAAAAAAAGTGTATGTAGGCTTATTTTAAACCTTTTTTTGGAAAAATATAAATTTCTTAGTTCTGATTAATTTAAATAGCATTTCTGAAGCTTTGGGCTCACCAAAAGCTCTCTACTCTTACATAGAAATTAATGGAAAATATGATGGTAGTGTCAAAGTTATAAAAATGTATGAAAATACTAGTGGAATTTTAAAATGTTGTGTAAATGTACAGATAAAAAAAAATCTAAATAATGTTTTAGCAAGTGGGTGTATGGAATATATATTTTTTTAATTGTGGATTTGAGTCACACTTGTGTTGCTCTACCACCCGAAAAAAATTTTAACGCTAGGTCCAGACCACCCTGTTTTTAAATTTACATTAAAGTTTTTTAATTACGTAGCTACTGCTCAGTAGGTACCTTTTACAGTAGAGCAAAAAGTTTGGTAGGAAGGTCAGAATAAAAAGTATATATGATTTATATTAAGTATGAAATTATTGTTATATATCTTCTTTAGTGGTACACACAATTTTTTCTCCATTAGTTAAGTAAAAATGTTTACCAAATACCTTAAGTATTTTTCAGTTACACAACAACACATTTTTTTAACACTAACCTAAATAGATTAAACTGCAAATTGTAACGAACAGATTAATAAAAACCAAAACCTCCCCCGGGATGAAATCATCAGTAATCAAACGCAACGTCCACCAAACATTTAAGGTACAATATTTCTATAAAACATTACAACACTCAATAATTAATTTTCGTATATATCACAATAAAAACTTGTATATATCTTATATTTTTCTAATCTAAAAAACGTTTAAAATATGAAGAAAAAAACATAATTGTCTTGGGTCGCATGGTAACCATTTGGCAATAGCTAGTGCTTAGGATGGTATTTACAATGGTGTATATGAACGATCAGATATACATAGCTTATGTACAGGTGTTAGGGGTACAAGACATTTAGTTTCGACAGGATATTCATAGCAAATATTGTATGAAAACTGTGGTAAAGTTAATGAAAAAATACAAATATTTTACACCGATCCCCAAATATTGCCATTAACCTTCACTAGCTATGAGTTTTTAAAAACTAGATGAACAGAGTGAAGAATAAGAAAAATCTTTATTTATGAAACAGCTACTTTGTCTTTTTTTGTCACAAGTATTATTAGCGTGAAATAATTCATAACACTCAAAATTAAAACAAAGGAAGCCAAAAAGAATGTTCACAGTGTGTCTTGTACCCCCATACCAAAAAGTTAAAAATTGAATAAAAATCAGATCTTACACGACACAACCCAAAATTTGTGTGCTACCAACCAAAATTGGTTACTTGACAACCACATGTTGGAAAAACTAAAGTAGGGTAACTAAATATTAAAACCAATTGTTGTTGGTCCCTGACTATTCAGTTAAGTCAAAACTAAAAAGAAAAACTTATCATCAATTCTAAAATAACAGGTTTTGTTCAGAGCTTCAAACAAACTTGAATACTGTGTTTGCTCTAAACAATATAGAACAAAATATTGTCTAAAATGTTCTAAAATAATTAAGTTTGTTTTAAATTGTTTGAACATTTAGCTGCAAAAGAATGTTTTATCAATATATCAACTATCAACAAAAAATACCTAAACGATCATCAAGGGACCAAGAACTATTACTTTGACATCAAAACCTAGAAATAAAAGACATATAATAATGATATTTAAACTTTGGCGGTATAAATTATTTCAATGCCATTATGATTATCGGAATTCTTGTAAGATATGTAACATGGAGTTTTTTAAATGAAAGCAATCATCTAAATTTAAGGTTTATAAGTATCTTGACTCATGCTCAGTACTCACTACTCAAATTGGTAAAGAACACATATTTTATTCTGTTGGTGAGTTTTAGAATTAAAATAAGGCAAATAAAAAATATCCCCGCTGCAGCTAAACTGCAGACTGAGTGGCCTTGCTGGATTTCTACTAAAATATTCCCTTAAAATTGTCAGATTTATTTCCTATTTAAATAACATTAATTTTAATGAGTACTTAGCTTTGCTGCTTCAGGGAAGGTATTGACTATTGAGGTGTGTTTTTTTTTTTTTTTTTTATTGTTGATAGCATAGTATGAAATAAATACAATGGCCAAATTAGATTATCCATAAACAAGCAAATTACAAAAGTATATTTATTCTCCTTAGGACTAACATGGGAATTTTCAATTTTCAATTTTTTTATTATTTCGGTAACCATACAACAACGCTCCAATGTACAAAATTATTTCTTTTTAAAGCTCTACAAAATGGTTTGTAAATAAATTAATAGTGAAAGTTTATGTTTTTAGGGTAAAAAATTGAAAAACCCTATTTATACCCCATAAACCCCTGTTCCCATTGTCCAATCATGCTGGTTCGCGAAAGATTTGTTTGAATAAAAGTAGGTTTACACGTTTGTACCAAATTTCATCAAAATCGGATCATTTTTGCTCGAGTTATCACACTAACCGAGTTTTTTTTTGCCTCTGGGGACCTCAAATCAAAAAAGTAAATCCGTCCCGGGTCTAGCTCATACAATAAGACTTCCGGTAATAGCTTATTCCCTATATGGGAAATTTGCTAAAAACACTTGTATATTCTTTAGCAGTAGAACTTTGGTATACATCTTAATTACTCTTCTCTTGGTAATGGATATATTTTCTAAGGAAATTTCATTTTAGTTTTGATACAAATATCGGTCAAAATTCATGTTAAGTATTTGTAGAAATCTACATTATGATTGGTTCAGAATGTCTCCACCAATAAGTAAATTTGAATTTGTCTGATCTTTAAAAATGGTGAACACAGTGAAATTCCGTCAGTTATCTATTTTAATTTTTTGTTTACAATTTAATCCAACTATCTTGACTACTTAGTATTAATGATGGATTGTTTGGATTTATAACTCATCTTTTCACTGCAAAATATTTCAAAAGTTTGAAACATGACCTAAACAACCTTGACGTATTTTATAGATTATGATTTAGATTTTAGATGGGTACAACTTTGATTATTTCCATTATATGCCAAGAAAATCTCTACTAGATTTTTCTCTATTTTAAATAAGTTGACGGCTGTCATCAAGGAGTGTTGTTGGTTATTTGGCTTTAAAAGACTTGAGTACTATTTCTATTTCTCCTAGTAGTAGAACTTTGTATGCTTTACATTGTTAACATCTGATATCCTACAATGGGATTGGCCATTCACATGAATTACTGTGCTCCATACCTTGTTCTATGATCTAGTAGCGGTGTAACAAGATTCTACTGCATGGGACTTACAAATCATAATAAATCAGAAAGTTTTCCAGAATATGATTTTGATTTATCTGACAGGCGAATTCTTTTAACTTCAGGAATGTTTATAAAACCGTGTTAATATTTAGTTTTAAAGCTCGCGATTAACAGCCAAACAAATTAAGTATGTGACAAAATTGTAGTTGTATTGATGTGACAATTTTGCTGAAGAAAAACTCTCCTCTGTAGCTGTTTTGACAAACTATTCATAATACAAAATATAAATGATTTTCACAGTTCAATTCAGTTGTTTTTAAGTCGTTTTATATGTTTAAAGGTTGAAATTTTTAGCACATGATTTTTAAGGATCTGTTTATTTAGTTTGATTATTAAAACAATCATATTCTATGGTGCAACAAGGGTAGAGCAACTAAACCATATAAATATTGTTTGTCAAACAAGTTTAAACTTGAGTTTGTCAGATAATTTTAAAAAAGATTAAAAAAACAGTAGGTTAACACTTACAACTTTAAATAAGGTTATTGACAAAGTCACAGAAAGTAGAATTCAAAGGAGAGTTTTTAGTAAAATAAAATTCTGGGCAAAAATTGTCCTTGCAATCCCTGCTATTGAAGTACTCAAGGCACAAATCCTACACAAAATCTACTTTCTTTTCATCTTTTACAAATAATTCTATTCTTAAATATGGTCTTGATATAGAAAACAATTGTACATTTTTTTTATTGTATAAGATCTATTTTAAAGAACATATTCCTGTTATTTGTCAGAAATAAGTTTACTAATGAATGAGTGAGATTCAAGTTGAATATGTACTTTCACAGCTTACGACAAAAATTCTTTAAAAACAAAGAGTGTAACTTAAGTTACTTGTAATGTGATCTAACATGATTTAAATGTATTTTTGTCTATGTTAGAAGTTTAGAATTTCCAAAAGCTACTAGTGACTTTACAAATATACAGGATCTAATGGAGATATAAATCGGAATTTAAAAATCTAGGTACATCAGACATTATTTTCTTAAGATATGAGCAATTATTCAATCTTCAGCTCGCCTTTTAAAAGTTTTAAAAAGCAAGCTTATAAGCAAAAAGTTTGCTTCCTCCGGTAGAATATCATAACATGAGACGGAGTTTTACAAACTTAGCATGGCATATATTTTTTATTCACACATGTTAATAATAACGTCGTAGCAAGTTTAAACGGTTAAGAGACGTTTGATTTGTTTGAATCTTAGATTTGATTTGGTATATGTACATAGTTATAGACAGACTTGTTTTCTGCAGCTTACAGTCTACACATTCACCACAACCCGAGTACCACCTATCGGATGTCCTATCACTTTCAGTTTCAACCCTTCATATTGTTCTCAAAGAGTGCTCTTCTCTACGAGGTCTCTGAGGCACCCTAGGTGGGACTCTGCCGGTCAGACCATCCCTGACGTGTATTTGATCTCCCGGTTCACTGCCCATCGGTTGTTCTGGTAGCCGTAGTGGCGGTACTCGCTGTACTGCTGATAGTAACCTACGTTCTGGTGGTGGGGAAAGTGCGATGGGTGGTAATACGGATGTCCCCGCCAGCCAGGGGGTGGGTAGTCGTAAGGGGGGTAACAGTCATGGTAACTCCTCACAGGCTCCTGCGACGGAGGATTGTAGTACGGTGGGTAATACTGGTTGTAGTTCTGTCTCTCATAGTAAGGCATGTCCGGATGCCACTGCGGATGGTTGTGGTTGTACATGTCGGGAACCATTGGAGGTCGTTCTTCATGGTATGGGTAGCAATTCATCCGCTGAAGGGAATTCATCACGTCCCCACATCCCGGCTGCATCCCTGGATTCCATTCCTGCCAGGGTTCTTTCTTCCCCATCATATTGCCGGGGTAACACGGGTCGGGCCATTTTTCCGGCTCAACCCTCGACTTAGCCTTTCGTCCTCCCCTGGGAGCTCTCCCCCTCTTTGGGGGCGGAGGAGGTAAAGGAGACATACAAACCTTTCTCTCGTTCTCTGCTGCAACTGCAGCCTCGAAGAATCCATCTGGCTGAGAGAATCGACCGATCTCTGTTGATCCGAATGCTTGATGGAACCCAGGAAGCTTCATGCTGCCAGAGTCCTCCTGTTTACCATTGACCAATGGACTGTCTTCTGGGATCACTTTGGCTGATGCTAAAAGTTCCTTCACATGCTGTTCGGGATCCTATAACATTCAAGAAACTCTGCTTAATACTTGAAAATAAAATAAAATAATTCCACTACTTCAATTGTAGCATAGTCATTGATTGTAGGATCTGGATCATTGCAAAGTTTAGTTCGTTATATTTTACCATTACCATTTAGTCTTAGTTTTCAACTCGATTTATAGTTGGCCCTACTTATATAAAATCAATTTTGAGAGATAAGGTTCAGTACTAAGTTTTGTTCTTTGTTATGAACTTGTTTTTATCCCTTCAAAGCAGTTTAACGAGCATTCCTAGTCACAAGTAAAAAACCCACTACTAAAGGGTGATGAGACGTTGTCGTTATGATGTGACACGCATGGTGGTGGCATCTGAAAACAAATCAGTGAACTATTTTGAACTAGGACTGAATACAGCACAATGAATCCATTACTGCTTTTCCCAATCGTATTGAGTGTGACAAAACAGATGTGCTGTTACCAAACATGAAAACTATGAAAGGTTGGTACTATGGAAGATTACTTACCCCTTAGAGAAATGTTTAGTTGTGAATATGAACCTTAACTTTCAAATGATACCCCCCTAGGTATTTTCAATTCTATTTAGATGATGAAATTATGAATGTAATCATAACCAGTACCAACACTTATGCCGAACAGCAAAGGGCTAAACGAGAGATAGTTTGGCGCAATTTGGAAAAAAACACAACTGTGGGAGGTTTCAGTGGGTGCTAAAATATCCCTTCTTGAAAAGTTGAACATCGACTGATTGACAACATAGACTACTGATCTGTGTGAGAATCAGAAGAAGTCATTTGGTTATGCGTTAATTTATAAGAGTAAGGTAGAAATAAGGTCAAGTCAGTCAAACCAGTGGAACTAGAAATATCTGGCTATTAGGCCGGGAGCAAACCAATAGTAAACTACTACTGTGGATTCACACTTACGTGGGCTATTCAGAAAGTAATGAACGTTTCTTTGTGAGGCTAGTAGGCGCGTGCCGATTTCATACAATTGGTGTGTGCACTCTCGACAACTCAGTCGGCGTCCAGCCGTGACAAAGGGATCATTGTCGGGAAGCCCTTTTTTTGCAATTCCAACTTACGAAGTGCACTGCGATTGAAAATCCCGCCAGTTGTAAGTTGTGATCAGTGATACCGTACAGTTTTTGTTGGCACAAAACTTAAAACAGTTACACGTTTATTGCCAAGTGTATGAAGTTTACAGACTGGGGTCCATGACAGGCTTGTGGTCCAACATACAGTTTGCATCACACTGAGTTGTCATCTGCTCCTGATAACTACTGTCAGTACTGTCCCCATTTAACATCAGACTGTGTTACTGATGTCCTACACTTACCTTGATAAGACCTGTAGATGTTCCGGGGATGCGGAATACTATCCCCCGGAAAACTACCCCCCTAGGTGAAACGTGACGTCACAAAATCTGCCGACTAACCAATATCGAAGCCGTGTCCGCGACTGGAATACTACCCCCCCCAAACAAATCATGCTATTTAATTTTAATTTTAATTCGAGTAATTCCATTTGATAATAGAAAAGTCATGTGGTGAATATAAAACAGAATATCGAAATGTTACAGCAAGTTTGGTTGGTTAGGTTAGGTTAGATTAGAACTGTTTGACAACTAAATTTGAGTGTCCGTGACTGGAAAACTGCCCCCCCGGTCTCTGACGTCAATATGACGCAGGAACTTGTTTGGGGGGGTAGTTTTCCGGGGGGCAGTCTTCCGGCGACCCGATGTTCCATTCTGAGAGATGATGAGGTCCATGACAGGCTTGTGATCCAACATACAGTTTGCATCACACTGAGTTGTCATCTGCTCCTGATAACTACTGTCAGTACTGTCCCCATTTAACATCAGACTGTGTTACTGATGTCCTACACCTACCTTGATAAGACCTGTAGATGTTCCATTATGAGGGATGATGGGGTCCATCACAGGCTTGTGGTCCAACATACAGTTTGCATCACACTGAGTTGTCATCTGCTCCTGATAACTACTGTCAGTACTGTCCCCATTTAACATCAGACTGTGTTACTGATGTCCTACACCTACCTTGATAAGACCTGTAGATGTTCCATTCTGAGAGATGATGGGGTCCATGACAGGCTTGTGGTCCAACATACAGTTTGCATCACACTGAGTTGTCATCTGCTCCTGATAACTACTGTCAGTACTGTCCCCATTTAACATCAGACTGTGTTACTGATGTCCTACACCTACCTTGATAAGACCTGTAGATGTTCCATTCTGAGAGATGATGTTGTAAATGATAGGCTTGTGGTCCAACATACAGTTTGCATCACAATGAGTAGTCATCTGCTCCTGATAACTACTGTCAGTACTGTCCCCATTTAACATCAGACTGTGTTACTGATATATCCTACACTTACCTTGATAAGACCTGTAGATGTTCCATTCTGAGAGATGATGGGGTCCATGACAGGCTTGTGGTCCAACATACAGTTTGCATCACAATGAGTAGTCATCTGCTCCTGATAACTACTGTCGGTACTGTCCCCATTTAACATCAGACTGTGTTACTGATATATCCTACACTTACTTAGCTGTTCCATTATGAGGGATGATGAGGTCCATGACAGGCTTGTGGTCCAACATACAGTTTGCATCACACTGAGTTGTCATATGCTCCTGATAACTACTGTCAGTACTGTCCCCATTTAACATCAGACTGTGTTACTGATATATCCTACACTTACCTTGATAAGACCTGTAGATGTTCCATTCTGAGAGATGATGGGGTGCATGACAGGCTTGTGGTCCAACATATAGTTTGCATCACAATGAGTAGTCATCTGCTCCTGATAACTACTGTCAGTACTGTCCCCATTTAACATCAGACTGTGTTACTGATGTCCTACACTTATCTTGATAAGACCTGTAGCTGTTCCATTATGAGGGATGATGAGGTCCATGACAGGCTTGTGGTCCAACATACAGTTTGCATCACACTGAGTTGTCATATGCTCCTGATAACTACTGTCAGTACTGTCCCCATTTAACATCAGACTGTGTTACTGATGTCCTACACTTACCTTGATAAGACCTGTAGATGTTCCATTATGAGGGATGATGAGGTCCATGACAGGCTTGTAGTCATCTGCTCCTGATAACTACTGTCAGTACTGTCCCCATTTAACATCAGACTGTGTTAGTGATGTCCTGCACTTACCTTGATAAGACCTGTAGATGTTCCATTCTGAGAGATGATGGGGTCCATGACAGGGTTGTGGTCCAACATACAGTTTGCATCACACTGAGTTGTCATATGCTCCTGATAACTACTGTCAGTACTGTCCCCATTTAACATCAGACTGTGTTACTGATGTCCTACACTTACCTTGATAAGACCTGTAGATGTTCCATTCTGAGAGATGATGGGGTCCATGACAGGCTTGTGGTCCAACATACAGTTTGCATCACACTGAGTTGTCATATGCTCCTGATAACTACTGTCAGTACTGTCCCCATTTAACATCAGACTGTGTTACTGATGTCCTACACTTATCTTGATAAGACCTGTAGCTGTTCCATTATGAGGGATGATGAGGTCCATGACAGGCTTGTGGTCCAACATACAGTTTGCATCACACTGAGTTGTCATATGCTCCTGATAACTACTGTCAGTACTGTCCCCATTTAACATCAGACTGTGTTACTGATGTCCTACACTTACCTTGATAAGACCTGTAGATGTTCCATTATGAGGGATGATGAGGTCCATGACAGGCTTGTAGTCATCTGCTCCTGATAACTACTGTCAGTACTGTCCCCATTTAACATCAGACTGTGTTAGTGATGTCCTGCACTTACCTTGATAAGACCTGTAGATGTTCCATTCTGAGAGATGATGGGGTCCATGACAGGGTTGTGGTCCAACATACAGTTTGCATCACACTGAGTTGTCATATGCTCCTGATAACTACTGTCAGTACTGTCCCCATTTAACATCAGACTGTGTTACTGATGTCCTACACTTACCTTGATAAGACCTGTAGATGTTCCATTCTGAGAGATGATGGGGTCCATGACAGGCTTGTGGTCCAACATACAGTTTGCATCACACTGAGTTGTCATATGCTCCTGATAACTACTGTCAGTACTGTCCCCATTTAACATCAGACTGTGTTAGTGATGTCCTGCACTTACCTTGATAAGACCTGTAGATGTTCCATTCTGAGAGATGATGGGGTCCATGACAGGCTTGTGGTCCAACATACAGTTTGCATCACACTGAGTTGTCATATGCTCCTGATAACTACTGTCAGTACTGTCCCCATTTAACATCAGACTGTGTTAGTGATGTCCTGCACTTACCTTGATAAGACCTGTAGATGTTCCATTCTGAGAGATGATGGGGTCCATGACAGGCTTGTGGTCCAACATACAGTTTGCATCACACTGAGTTGTCATCTGCTCCTGATAACTACTGTCAGTACTGTCCCCATTTAACATCAGACTGTGTTAGTGATGTCCTGCACCTACCTTGATAAGACCTGTAGATGTTCCATTCTGAGAGATGATGGGGTCCATGACAGGCTTGTGGTCCAACATACAGTTTGCATCACACTGAGTTGTCATCTGCTCCTGATGATTACTGTCTCCATTCAGCATCAGACTGTTGACCTCAGTAGGGTTTTGTATGGTGTAAGGTGAACCTATCAAATCCAAAATACATCTTATTTAGTCAGGAAACAAAGTTACTTCAAACAATTTTAGTGTCCAAATCAAAAGAAAAATACCCCCGCCGCAGCAAACCTGCCGACCAAGCGAATTTCCATTTGTCTGAATTGATTTTCAGTTAAATATATTTTAATAACATTAGGTTTAACGAGTACCTAGGTTTGCTGCTACAAGGAAACTAATAAAGTGTGTTTTTGAGTAAAATATTGATAGCTTAGTACAAAATAAATAAATTTTCCAAGTTTGATCAAAATATATCCATAAACAAGCAAACTACAACATTTGACAATATTCTCCATAAGATTAACATGGGAATTTTAAATTTACAATTTTTTTTATTTTCTCCGTTACTAATAATCAAACAAAAATACTTTTACATACTAAATTATTTGTTTTTTTAAGCTCTTTAAAAAGGTCTAAAGAGAAATCGGGAAATTTTGTATTTTGAGGGTCAAAAGTGAGAAAAACCAATTTTTACCCCATAAAACCCCCCATAAAGCCCCGTTCCCATGGTCCGATCGTGCTGGTTCGCGAACTCATTCAAGTTTATCCCGCTTTACACCTTTAAACCAAATTTCATCAAAATCGGACAAAAATTACTCAAGTTATCGCGTTCACGGACGTATATATATATACATATATAAAAATTTGAACGAATAGTGTTTTTGGCCTCTGGGGACATCAAAATGAAAAAGTAAATCGGTCCCGGGTCTAGGTCTTACCGTGCCACCTACGGTAATAGCTACTTCCCTATAGGGAAATTCGCTAATACAATGTTCCATTAAAAAAAAACAAAATTCAACATGTACACCGTACAAACTTGGTAATGTAATGTGTTTGACTTGTTCATCAACTTGAAGGCCCACCAATCTACCATACACATTCAGTTTGGTCTCAAGGTCTGGACTGAAGGAAGAACCAACGATTCCTTGAGACAACCGTAAGCCGGATGGCCAGATAGGTAATTAATGAGTTTGGTAAGTAAATTAATATGAGTAAATCTTTTCCTTTCAAGACATGATTTTGCCTTAAATGTTTCTCTACAGGGCCGATTTACCGAATAGGCACGGTAGGCACGTGCCTAGGGCGCGAGGCAATTGGCTTTTTTGGGGGGCGCCAAAAATTTGGAAATAAAAACAAATTGGTGGTAGTATTTGCATGCTATCACAATGAACTTCTGAAAATCCCTCGCGGCCATGTAGACATCGTAATCGTATCCCGCATTTGTGGCAAGATTCTTACTATTTTCTGCGGTCTTCCATGATCGAGGCAATATATAGGACATTATCCTCGTCTTGCGCGATCGTGGTCAAATTGATAAGAATGGCCTCGCGGCCGTGAAGACATCATTATATCGTCCCCCGCGGTCGTTTGGACATAGTAATCGCCTCCCGCGATTGCGGTAAAATGGTAATCATCTCCATCGGACATATGGAGATAATCGTCTTCGGCGAATGAGGCAAAATTCTGATCTTTTCGTGCGGCCATGTGGACATTATCATCGTCTTGAGCCATCGCGGCATTATTGTAATCATCCCTCGTGGCCGTGTAGAAATCATTATTGTATTCCGTGGTTCTGTAGACATCGTAATCGTTTCCCACAGTCGTGAAGAAATCTTTATCGTCTCCCACGATTGCGGCAAAATGTTAATAATGTCCTCCAGTCGGATTTCCCGTCGGTGGACACCCTGTTATATATATATTGAAAAGGGGCTACTAGTTGTGCCTAGGGTGCTGACAGGGTAAAAAACGGGCCTGGTCTCTTGCGCTTTTTCCTATATGCTAGAATACACAATAAAACTGCCATTGTCTCAATATCTTCAATAGTTGACATGTCAAGCACAAAACCTTCCAAAAGAGCTATCGCGTGACTCGAATGCACAAGCTGGTTTGTGTTTGTGTGTTTGGGGGGGGGGGGGGGGGGGGACACGACTCCAGCAAAACAGTGCAGTTCTGAACCCAATGCTTAGCCTTGAGATTGGAACAGAACATGTATGGTAGGCCTAACACAATCCTCTAGGCTATACCGTTTGTATGATACGAATTGCCTTGCTTTACAATTTATCTGCAGGTGGTTAAAAACTGTAAGTTGGTTATGAAAACTATTCAAATATGAGCTAAAGATTCTATTTCTGTTTTGTACGATCCTATTTTCCTTAGGTGGGTCCTCCGCCTCCCTGATTTAATAGAAACACGCAATATAAATACATTTAAACTACACTTCACACTTAATACTTGTTAGTGGTGCTAACAGTTATACTTTTGTATACATTATAAAGGCCTTTCATAATCTTAATCAATTTGATGTATAAACTACGATTTCATAACTACCCTGTATAATTATGTCATCATAAAGTCGAACATTAAGCTCAATTGTGTACTAAGAGTTGCTATGGCAGATGAGTGACCCATTTCTCCTTAGTACCAAATACTTGGGTCACTGACTGGCTTTTCATTTGTATTTACAAACAATATTCAAAGAGTATTCGTGATTAGCCTATAAAGAACACAATTGAAATTTACATTACATTTTGTTTAGTGCCTGCTGGTGATAGCTATTCATCAATAAGTTATAACAAAAAATACACTAATGTTCAGCAGAAGAATGGTTTTACCAAGTAAAACCTAGAAATGCTCACACACTCTCCCAAGTTAAGTTTCGATCACTCACTGTTTCATGCATCACTATAAGATAAATGAAAAGATCCTTCACAACAGAACTCATCTAAATATATAAAAGGCAAAGCCCTCACTGACTCACTGACTGACTGACTTATGCCAACAGCTAATTTGCAACCAAAAGGTGAGTGAGCGTAGCGAACGAAATTCACAACCTGGAGGCAAGTTATAGTATAAAAAGAGACTTGTTCATCCCTACAGCAGCTCATAGTTTTGTTTAGTTTGGTAACTAGGTGTTGCTTGCAAGAAACTGCAAAGAAAACAATCAGCTAAGAGATATTTTAAGGAATTATAAATCCTAACGGTGTATAGTCTGTATTTATATGAAGCATCTGTCTATGCAAAACAAATTCAATTGTCATCCACTTCAAGCAATACTGGTGACTATAACACTAGGTTTAAAATTAACCTACCCCGACATAAATTGGAATTTTTCAAAAAGAAAACTTATTATTCAGGTTTAAATTTGTTGCAACACCTGCCGGCTTATAAAGACGGAAGACAATTTGAATAAATTTAAAAGAACACTAAAAGAATTTTTAATTAAATTTCCATTTTATTCCATAGAAGAATTTTTTTTTTTTATAAAAATTAGTAGCTTACATAATTTGAACTCCATAGCAAAATTAGGGGAACAATTTAAATTTTCACAATGATTAGTATAATACTTTTTCTTTTCTTTGTATGTTTTACCTAAGCCCGGAAAATGGGTATATGTTTTTTATTTTAATAACTGCTAATGTTATTGTGATTGCAATAGTGTTATATTTTTAATATATTGAATTAGAAATTCTTCACTTATCTTAATAGTATATTTTAAGCACTTTGTAATATGTAGTTATATGTATTTATAGCCTATTTGACTCTATTCAATACATGTTATTTTATGTATAATGAATAAAGAATGATTTGATTTGATTTGATTTGACTCACTCACTCACTCACTCGTCACTAATTCTCCCTTTTCCCATTTACCTAGGAGACTGAAATTCGGTACATCGATTCTTTGGGCATTAAATAGGAAAACTAAGCAGTTTTTATTCTGATCGGGCTTTCGGGCTCCGCCCCAGTGGCCCTGGAGTTTCCCACATTAACCTTATGATTTTTCATATTTAAAAGGAATTAATGAATCTTAACAGCTATTTCAATTAAACAAGTTGGTTCTGTTCTATGATGTTCAATAGCAAGTTACAAAGATTACCCACAGGGCGCAGCACTATTTTTTTATTTTTTTTTATTTATGCCAACACCTAATTTGCAACCAAAAGGTGAGTGAGCGTAGCGAACGAACTTAACAACCTGGAGGCAAGTTATAGTATAAAAAGAGACTTGTTCATCAGCAGCTCATAGTTTTGTTTAGTTTGGTAACTAGGTGTTGCTTGCAAGGTAATCAAAAAGAATCTTATCAGAATGAACTTTATCAGAAGGTCGATCCTGATAAAAGTCATAAGGTTTTTGATGGTATTGTAGTTTGTTGTGTTAGTGTGGTATAAATCCACCCTATTCTATAACTTACTCTGAGGTGAGGCCCGAATGAAGTTCCCTTGCTCCGAGTTGTAGCGAGTAGACCAGTCAATGTTCAGCTTGCTGTCTGGTGTTCTGCTCATGTAGTCTCCATCGGATTGACTAGCAGGCTGTAAACATCACGAGTCAAACTGTTAAACTACCGAGAAATAAAAATATGACACTACTCAATTCCAAGTTCACCGTGCAATACAGTTGTTATGGGTGATAGTCCCCCATGATCCTTTTGAAGGTGCCTTAGGCTCTGTAACCTTATATGCTTTTCTATATTGATATTTTAACTTAATTTAGATTTTGACTGTATAGTCAAAATTTGTATAGTAGGAAAACCAGGAACATATCATTAGAAAAACCTTGCACCTGCCTTGAATATCAGGACCCCTTGGATATGGAGAAGGGTTCTGCCAAAGCAAACCCAGCATAAAAATGTTCCTCTTTTATAAGTAACGTAAAATGTAGTATAAACTGTGACCAGTAACAAGGTTACAATGGTTGTTTTGATTTACAACTAGAATAGTTGCATTTTCTGGTGTGAAATTGCTCAGCCCTTTTACAGTCATTTACAGCCCCTTGCTCAGCCCTTTTAAAGTCATTTACAGCCCCTTGCTCAGGGTTCTGTAAATGATTTCGGGATAAATACAATTAATAAACCAACTACCACTAACCATGCAAGCCACACCCAACAAAACCACCCAACACAAAATAAACTCACAGCATTCAATAGTATGGTATATAGGCTCATAACTGTTCCACTTACTGACGAGAACTACAAAAAGGAGATGAACATCATTAAGCAAATAGCTGTTAATAATGGCTAATACCTGTCCCTTATCGCAAAGACAGTAATAAAACAATAAATATACCAAAGACACCAAGAGTCCAAAACTAAAGATGAATTTGTGACCCCAACCTACCACGGGAAGACAAACAACTCCTTCCATAAAATCCTAAAAGAACATTGACTCAAAGTTGCTTACAGATCAACAAACAACCTTGGGAGCTTGTTAAACAAAAAGCAGCCCACAACTACATCGACTAACATCGAGGGTACGCGGGAGTCTACAAATAGTACAAATTAACGTGCGGCTCTAGTCCTAAATTTTTTATCGGGCAGAGAAGTTTCTACCACCGCTTTAAAGAACATCCCCCCAAAAGAATCCAACCAGCTCATCAACCTATTCCGAGCATTTAATCTCAGAAAACCTTTCTTATACCTAAATAGATCCCAACTTAGATAATAGTACACAAAGCCCCAAAAAGCAACAAATTAAATACAATAGAGCATTTTCATATATATAACGCTACCGAAATGGACCCATCCCTCATACTAAATGGCCAAAGATACTTTGCCGCAAACATCATGTTTGTCACTAATTGAACTAAAAAATCAGAAGTACAATAACATATCATTAACACGATCGCTACTGAGCGTCGCATATATGCGACGCCGCAGTCATTGCCACAGCCCGAGGTATATATTTGAATCTTACACATTACACAGACTGGCTGTCACTTAGTTAACAGTACACACAGACCACGGGCGAAAACCTGTAAAACAGGGATCATTTACATTGTAATACGCTACAATCGTGTTTGTAAATAATGTATTCTTGTTTTTTTGTATTTTGTATAACCTTTTGTAATGTCGCATATTTGCGACGCCCGGTCTACAGCGAAGACGATAGTAAAAATTATCATAGTTTTCTTGAAATAGACCAAATTTTGCATATATTCAAAATTCAATTTTTCTTTGTGTTCTGAGTTGAAAGTAAGTAAACAAAACAGATTATTCAAGAACCGTTTATAACTGAACAAATATAAAAGCTACATAGGATAATGCAGCATACAAACTGCATACATACATACAGTAATGCAGAAAAGTAAAGACCAGTTTTTTCAACTATCATTATGACGTCACCAATCATCATATCCACAGACCGAGCGACGCAGTTGTGCGTCAGACATCTCTGTAGACCACTGTAGGGAATTCAGTGCCTTCAAATAGACAGTTACAAAGATATAAGCATTTTAATAACATTAGAACCCCGACGCAAATATGCAACGGCAGTCTATTTTAATGTAACTCGCCGCCGCATATATGCGACGACAGTCTATGAGTGGAAATCGGCCGTCGCATATGTGCGTCACTGGTCCATATGAATGGCAAATTTCGTACTATTGCAGTAGCGAACGTGTTAAACACCTAATCGCAAAAATACATAACTCTATGGAGTGATGACAACTATGCTAGAAGGAAAGTCATCCTTTTCACGTACCAACTTTGGAGGTTAGGATTAAAAAGATCATTGCCATGCATCTAAGTTCTCCACTACGTCTTTGTAAATATTTATGCACAGGGTGTCCCACAAAGAGGTTTAAACATTTGATTTTATATTACTTTACCATTTTTGCACCAAACTGTTTGAATGTTTACACAATTTATTGAGTAGATTTTAAAAATATTCTGGGAAAATTTCAGCTCCCTAACCCTTGTACAAATAAAATGTTGGCATATTGAAAAAAAAATACTTTTAAAACACAAAAAATTGTGTTTTTGGTTTTGAAAAATATTTTTATTGTCATGTGCGGACATTTCAGAAATTACAATGATTGGGAATATAGGTATGCACGAATTTTCAATGAACATGTCTTGCCTTATTTTCCAGTTCCAGAAATGCATCAAGCTATCTTCCAACAAGATGGTGCTCCACTTTGTTTTGCAAATCATGTCGAGCAATTTAGCGACAGACTAAAGGTCTTGGATAACTTTACGGATTAAAAACCCTGCAACTCCAAAGAGAGCATATACCCAGATATGTGACAAAAGCATAAACAAAGAAAAAGACAACTGCAAAAGAAGACTCGAGAAGGAAACATTCAATGGTTCATAGATAACCAAAAGAAGGTAGGCCTACTGACAAAAAAGTTTGTAAAATCAAGGACAAGAAACAAAGATGTTTCTTAGTTCATTATTTATTTCTGAACCATATGTAGTACAACATTGGAGAAGTAAAAAGATACAGGTGTCAGGTGGACAATCTGAAAAATTAAGAGATGTTGATTTAAAGATTCGTCAGGCTATTGAAAACCATATCAACAGATTTCAGAGAATGGAGTTTCATTATTGCCGTGCATCTTCAAACAAAGAGTATTTACATACGGACACATTGTGTCCATTAAACTCAAGCAAAAATTATATGGTTTTGATAAAATTTTGTATAAATGTGTAAACTTACATTTATTCAAACAAGTTCATGAACCAGCATGCTCGGACCATGGGAACGGGGGGTTTATGGGGTAAAAATGGGGTGTTGTTTAAACTAGCCCACTTTTTAATGGCTCTGTTGTTTAAACTAGTTAGTAATCTAAGGCCTTTTTTTGACGCCATTTTCATTGTTGACAAGGTCTATTGTAGATTTGTTATTTAACGACAAATGCAGATTTATGATTGAGATTTTGTTTGTTGGTATTGTAGGAATAATTCCTTTTTGGTAGTAAGGAGCCCACTCTGTATGTTTGCAATGGGCCCCAGAGAACATAATTCACTAGTGTTGCCCGTAGAACTAGTTGGTTTGCATATACTGTAGTTATAGTTAAGGGCTTCCATGGTATTGGTGGTCTCCGATTTATATCTTTGAATTATATTGCTTTTACTTGAATACAATTCCTTTTTTAGTCAACACCAGTGGAGTTTTAAATGAAGGAATAACATACACTTATAAAAAAAGCAATCCAAACTCATAAAAATTACTCTGTAAATGCCGGGAATCAAACCTGTTCCTCTTTTTCTAAAGTCTTTTTCTAAGGAGACCCTCCACTTGGCTACCAACACACCCAATGTTGTTTGTATGGTTTTGTCTACTCACCTGGGTGTAAGTGGCGGGGTACCAGTTGTGGTTGTCCAAGGAGTAGTCAGTGGACGGAACATTGTAGGGAAGATCCACATAGTCTGGGTAACTCTGCAGCATGGTATGTTGATGTTCTCTATCTACTTGCTCGTGCAACATGGCTTTAGAGTCTTCTGTGACGTGGGACTGTTGTGGTAACAACTGCAACAAACAAACAAAACATGAAATATATAAAGTCAAGTCAGTAGTTGTGTGAGAAACTGCCAGGTATTGTTTACAGTTATAGCTTTTATAATCTTTACGATAGGCTTTGGAGAAGAAGGGATCATAAGCTGCTATTAGAGGGATTGTTATTTTGGTTACCCAGTAGTTTTTAATGTGTTTTTTTTTATGCAGCGCTGACAACAAAATTGATAACTCTACATTAACAGATTACCACCGTTGAATATCACCAGTTTAAGAACGGAAATGGACATAGTTGAATTGAGCTACGACAGATCATAACTCGTCATCACACTGGTTAGTGGTCACACCTGATGGTCAGTCTACTTATTATTTTAAATACTCTAGTTATGTGGATTGGATAACTATTCAAGTATGTACAGTTATTATTCAATTCTATTCAATTTATTCATCACAAAAATTCACCATACAGAGGCTGAAGATCAGCAATGAATATGTCACGTGTCAGTACAAATCATGCATTATTAATAGTTTCCCCGTAATAAATATTAAAAACTAGCCGAGTACCTGTCCTTCGTACGGGGTTGGCGTATAAGTATAAAATGCTTATTGCAGTTGTACTCGTGCTTTGCGTTTGCTAGAAGATTTAATTTACTATAATTTACGGTATATACTATAGCTACCATAGCCATAATGTTCTACCACTTCACTTAATTAATAGGAGAAAGTAAAGTTCTCACAGCTTTTTGTTGCTATTTGGTACAAATTAGCTCTTGTCATAAATTTAAAAAAGAATTAATAGTGCTGCACCCTGTTGGTAAAACTTATAACCTTTTAATTCTATTGAATATCATAGAAACAAATTGTGTAGTTGAAACAGCTGGCACAATTCTTTAATCTATCTATATATATACAGGGTGTTTTTTTAAAAACTTGCATCTTTATTTATGTAAAAACCGCAATAGATAGAAATATGCAGTTTGCGGGAATCATCTATTGACGTAGGGGGACCAATTGTTTTGAATTCAACGTTACATTCACATTCCCCCCCTTTCCCCCCCTGCCCCCAACTTAATTTTTTTAAATAGCAAGGTACCCCTTGTGACATATCAAATAAAAGAGCATAAAAAAAGAAAATGTTTGATGAAAAAAAATTGAAAATCGGTTAATAAATTTGTGAGATATTCCCCCCCTCACCCCCCCGGAACTTAATTTTTTTTAATAGCAAAGTACCCCTTGTGACATATCATATGAAAGAGCATGAAAAAAGAAAATATTTGGTAAAAAAAAAATTAAAATCGGCTCATGAATTTGTGAGATAATCACCCCCCTTTTCCCCTACCCATAACTTGTTTTTTAATAGCAAGGTACCCGCCCTTGTGACATATCAAATGAAAAATAAATTTCGCCAAAATTTTTCTTTTTTCATGCTCTTTCATTTGATATGTCACAAGGGGTACTTTGCTATTAAAAAAAATTAAGTTCAGGGGGGTCGAGGGGGGGAATATCTCACAAATTTATGAACCGATTTTCAATTTTTTTTCATCGAACATTTTCTTTTTTCATGCTCTTTTATTTGATATGTCACAAGGGGTACCTTGCTATTTAAAAAAATTAAGTTGGGGGCAGGGGGGTAAAGGGGGGGAATGTGAATGTAACGTTGAATTCAAAACAATTGGTCCCCCTACGTCAATAGATGATTCCCGCAAACTGCATATTTCTATCTATTGCGGTTTTTACATAAATAAAGATGCAAGTTTTTAAAAAAACACCCTGTATATATATAATTCAATGTATGTTTGTCCTTTATGGACTCCGAAACCGCTAGACAGATTGTAATGAAACTTTCAGGCATTATTAAGCATTACTCAAGGATGGTTTGTGTGAAGTTTGGTGCAGATCCGTCAAAAGGGCTCCGCCCCAGTGGCTCTGCAGTTTCCCATGTTAACCTTATGAGTACTCATAATTAAATGGAATTAAAGAATCTTAACAGCTGGTTCAAATAAACAATTTGATTCTGTGATGTTCAAAAGCATTAAAAAGTTAATATGTTTACCAACAGGGTGCAGCACTATTATTTTTTTAAATTAAGAAAACAGCTAATATGCAACCAAAAGGTGAGTGAGCGTAGCGAACGAACTTCAACCTGGAGGAAAGTTACCGTAGCGAACGAGCTAACCTGAAGGCAAGTGAGCGCAGCGAACGAGCTCCCAACCTAAAGGTGAGTGAGCATAGCGAACGAACTTCAACCAGGAGGTGACTGAACCATGCGAACGAGCTCATCTTAAAAATGAACGAGCATTTGACATAAAACCACATTAGGACAGGACGACGTCTGTCGGGTCAGCTAGTCTATTATATAATATCTATCTATATATTAATAGGCAAGCATGTTTCTTTAAAAAATTTTTTCTCAGCTCGTGTGCATCGTAGGGAAAATCTACGCATACCGTTAGAAAGCTATTTTCCTGTAGGTGTGCAGAATCCCTTTATAAATTTAAGAGTGAAAATTTAAAAACGTACGTTTTCATGTCCCTGGCCTTTTACTTCGTAGATACTGGATTTGTAGTTTATTATTATGTGTTTTAATATTTTTTGGGACGGGGGCAACATGTTACACACATTTATTTAGTTTTAAATAGGTTCTAGGTATTTTTTTCGTATTTTTAAAGTCTCGAAATTCACGACCATGACGTGTCCCTAGGGTACATTTTCCAACTTTCACGCTGTTTTTAGACTAATTATTCATGCCGAAATATATAAAGTCATATTTTTATGTCATCAATGGTTATTAAACTTACAAAAAAGGAGCATATTATAATTTTATTGTCATTGCAAACTCACTACCATGACAAAATAAGTCTGTCCCTCAATTTGGCGTCAGGACCATTTGGGAAAAATTTTTAACTTTGGAGCACGACGGTGGCAAGCCTGGCGTCGATGGAGTCAGTTGGTTTTAAAGACTAGTTCGGGGTGTATGTCAGGATTGTAGTGCCAGTCGTTTCGAGTTGAAAGGAGGAATTACAAGATTAATAAAGGAAAGATTGTGTTTTTTGTAATTTTGGTGTGTCCATGACCGTACGTAGTCATTCGATGAAGTAGACATGGTGTTAATTTTTGTTTATAAGATATTTCAATTGCTAGATCAACCTAGAAGTCCACTTTGTATCCTCGAACATGAGGTGCAGGGCTACCGCCAGAACAGAGCCAAATAACACGTAATTTCACGACCAAAGTTTCACGACCATCGCGGTTTTTTTCACGACCAATCCAGCCTTATGGATTATAGTGTGTTTGGTCGTGACAATAACTTTAATATAATTGTAAATTGAACAGTTTAGTTCAATTGAAACACATAGTTTTATTACAACTAACAGTATAATTGAAGGATTGTTTGGAAAGATTTAGATTATTCCAGACAATTCACGACCGTACCGCTTGTCCCTGACCATCACGTTTATGATTCCTATCATAAAAATTTCAAAAATTAAAATATCGTCATATTTCAATGTTTTATACACAAAAGAAGCACACCTCTATACAAACATAAAGATTTTTCTGGTCTCAGGAAAGTTTTTTCGGAGTTGTACAAACTTAAAAAGATTTTATTGACTTTTTTACAATTTTTTGAGTTTTTTTATTTTTATAGAAAGACCAAATATACCAAAAGCTCAGTGACCTTTTTATTGTATAATGGTCATAAAAGTAAATTAGTTTATAGCAAAACATAGTTATAAAAATAATATTTACTATTTTTAATATTCATTTAAACGTCCGTTATGGTCGTGACAGGATTTTGTGTTTTTCTACTAAAGATGCTCTTTAAAAAGAAAACTACCAAAGATATTGCGTTACCATGGACATTTTATGAAACTTAAAATGTTAATGAAATAAAAATAATAATAAAAGTTTAGAGAAAAGGGGGAAAAAATTTGCAAAGTGCTTTTCCTGAAAACGTACGTTTTTAAATTTTCACTCTTAAATAGGCTCAAAGATAAGCACAAAAAATGAGTTTAAAGATTTGAAAAAATTAACATGGATCTTATGCGTTGCCATGCTGGTGACGAAATAACAACGAAATATAAACAGAAAATCAAAACAAATGGAAGAAACTCCAATCACATGTTTTATTAACAGTGTGGGGTGAAACATTAACATAAGTGAGTACATTACATATTTTTGGTCGAGTTTCAACCACTGGACATTACTCGTATTTATTTAATACGCAAGCAGGTTTTTTGTGACAATTACTCCTCCAAAACTACTGAACCGATTGACATGTTTTTGGTCTCATTGGAAAGAGCGTAACGTGAAGTTGTGCAGGAAACTTTCTTTTTAGGGAAATAATTAGAGAGTGAGGCCCTGGGGCCCTTTAAAGTTTCGTATTCCTCCATAAGATTAACATGGGAAACAAAAATTGTTATGAAACTCCAGCTTTTGTCAGAAATTTAAAGTGAGAAGAAGAACATATGTTAATTGTAAACAGTCAATAAGTTTGCTAATTTTAACAGTTTGCTACAAATATTTACTGACTTGGTTGAAATGAAATGTTTACTATTTGAATTTGGGTTGACATAAATATCACAATGGAAAAAAGTGAGAGAGCCTGGATAAATTGATATACTAAAAAGAAAACTGAATTAACACGGTGCTGCATTTCTTAGTAATCATTGAAAGAGCCGATTTGAAAATAACTATGGAAACGTAGGAAAGTCATAGAACACCGCCAAGGAGAAGAAATAGAAATAATGTTTTTTTTTAAGAATTTATAATCGTTATTATGAACAACCTAATGCGGCTATGAGTAAGGCTATTTGTAGAAAACACTAACAAACAAGATCAGCTTTTGAAAAATGATAAGATATTTGCAAGAAATTATGATTATATCGATCTGTTATGCACATCATGAGTATTTCCAAAATCTTTGAGTCGAATCTTTTAAAGTCATCAGAAGTTATGACTGTTATTCGTTTTAAAATAACGTCTGTAATAGTTAGCAATTGCTCGAATTCGAGCAA